AAACCAAGATGCTGGCGGTCTTGTGCGATGATCGTACACAAGTTGATCGAAGGCGAGGACGATATCCGTTGATGACATAAGTCTCTCCGCCATCAAGCGAGATGATAGAGCGAAAAGCAAGTCTATCGACGGCCTCTAGAATTTGATGACACGGGGCCAGAAAATCAACATCTCAGAACAACTGGCTAACGCCAAGATCCAACGGTTTGCTTCGAAAGGTGGTCAACACGAAATTGGCATAACAGGATGGGTCGGACAAGCTGTAGGTTGTCTTGATATCTTTCCCTTTTTGGAGTCGAGGTCAGTCATTGACCAACCACCTGCTTGGGTCCTTCATAGCCAACCTTTTCACCTGTCTCTTTTACTCCCCCATCTCTCTCCGCACCTTTTTGTCCCTCCCCGGCCATATTTCATCAAATTGTCTTGGGCCTCGGCCAGCCTACCAAGCCAGGTCAGTTGGAGAGGAGCTCGGCAATTAGTGAACCGACCACTATAAAGCCCGATCAGTGTTCGTACGTCGAGGAGCGAGAGATTTCATTTGCACCGCGCAAATTTGCCTCTGCAATTTCGCGCAGTGACTGACATGACTGATCGATGATTGCGGGGACACGGTATCATCGATCACATATTTGCAAGGGCATTCTTCAGTAACAGACTTTCTCGCAACAGAGCCTAAATGTGAGTAGTCCGGGTTTTTCTCGAATGTGATTGCAAGCCCACGCAACACTTTTGTTTGCGCTGCTTGACTTCCTATGGCGTAATTTGCTTTCGACGGAGTGCACCTGAAAGCTGAAGTGAACAACATATGAGATCCACACAATATCACATAAAATCAGCAACCCAATACTACCTCAAACAACGCGAGCTACCCCACAATCCGCGAGGTGAAATGGAATCCTACGAGACTTGCCGGAGAGAGGGGACAACCCTCGCTTTGTTCTGCGCAAACCTAGGCCACACACAACAGTCCATGGACTCATTAGTCCCCGAATATGGATTCCTATCTCTATCCTTGGTGATGCCACTTCCCGTGGTGTCGCACACTCACAAGCAAACCGGCCACTCACAGTCTCAGTTCCCGGACCCCGGACCAAAAGCTCTCTAGGATTTCCGGTGGCTCCGACGAATCTGCGAACAGGGTGGCCGCTTTTGCGGTTGCAGAAGGAAGGTCAGTCTCTTTTTGAGGATCCCAATCCTTGTCGGCATTGCGTTGTAATGGCAAAGAAGAAGGTTGCAGTCACGTTCATGAAGGAGCCCAGTTGGTTGCAACCACTATCCACAACGCTTTCCCACAACGGACTGGACAACAGTGTCTAACAGACGCCTAAACTCAAATTCGCCCCTTTCTCTTCTGTTTCTCTGTCTCCTCACATTCTCTGCGGCCTGTTCACTTGGAGGCGGCCGCATAGCGTGGATGTCATGTGAAATCGAAGGCTCACACCATTGCTTACTCGGAAAGTGATTGGTGAGATGGGAGGGAGGATTGAAATCTGATATTTTCATGGTGGGTAGGATCGGTTGGACATTCACACAGGCGCACAGGCTTCCAGAGGCGAAAAGACCACGAGAATGCAGACGAGCTTTAACACAGAGACAAGTGTGCACATACAGCTACATCTAGAAGAAACATTGCACCCGCGCCGCGGAGCCGGAAGCTATGGTACTTGTTACTAATGACTACCATACCAGACGAAGAGAGATGCCACATGAGCGACACGAGCGACTTTAAACGGGAAGCATACCCGGGGTTGCACCAGCATAGGAGCAGGAGCATCAGCAAAAAAGACCTTGATGATGATGCGCTGATAAAATACCACAGCTAATGGGATGGCTGTGAACTATTTCCTCGATCCAACTCCTGTACACCATCCAAAACATCAAGGCCCAACCAAAGAGCAGAATTAACTCTCTTCGCTTATAACATCCTGTTTGTAGGTAGCAGCAGATGAAGGTAAGGGGCATCTTTCAACAACAACACTAAAATCTGAGATCTAACAGATCCCTTCGTGTCATGTATACCTTGTGTGATGAGCTGCACAACCAATTTGCCCTGCTCACTGGAACGCCTAAATCTTCAGCCACCATCATCCACTCATTTCCAACCACCACATAAAGCATATAAGCAGAGAGACGGGTCTCCCGCCCCTTCTCCGTGTTCGGCTGAGGAATGCGAGAATGTGAGTGATACTGCATTGGATGGGGGTCGTTGTCATTTACCGTTGAGAGATGTCCAGAAAGTACAAGTAACCTATCAGAGCAGCCACTTTATTTCTTACGCACGCAAGCTCGCCCACTTTCCACACACCCACACACATATACTCGCTGCAGTGCACAATGTAATGCAAAATTGTTCTCGACGCAGGAACGTTGAGGGATATCTTAGTTGACTATCTCGACAAATCCTCATTGGTTGATCTCGACGAGATGTGAAGATGCTGTGTCAAGGTAGGTAGGCAGGTTGGGTTAAGAAATAAATTATGATACCCGTACCTTGCGTGAAACAGACATACCAACACCATGTCCAACCCCGACGCAATATCATCAATCACATAACGCCTATTTTCACACCGACCAGGTCAGTTCATCACGGTGTTTATTTTTTTTCCACGTAAATGATGAATCCAGACCTCATATCTTTGTCTTTGCAGGCGTGTGCAAGACAGATTGGATGAATGGATCGATGTAATCCGGGCGGCATTTTCTGTCTGCTTGAACATGATCCCCTTACAGATACGGGAAAGTAATGCATGTAAGCAAGTCCCTTAAACCCTTTTCTTTTCACTACTTCTTCTTCTTCTTCTTCTTCTTCTTCTTGTTCTTCCACTATGTGCTGTGGGTGGAAACATGTGTGCATTCTCGTCTTCCTCACACCGATGCTTTTACCTCTTTTCCAAAATTGTCGAGGAGAAGTTTTCTGATTGATGATCGATGATGATTTGTCTCATTTTCTCAACAGTATAATAAAAAGTGGTAATAAGGATAGCACGGGGAAAAAACAATCATCTTCGGGTAGTTACTTCAATTTCAAGACAAGTCGAGATATCTTTGTGAAGCAATTGGTCTCACCACATGAAAACTCTAGAACTTCGTTTCTTCATACTTGCAACATAGCAGCAACGCCGCAGCACTGCATACGGCAAGCTGCCCGTTGCCGTCTCTGCATCTGGACTCTCTATAATTGCATCTACATAAGTGGTCGAATTAAGTTATTCCTGCGTTTCACAAAATCCCACACTCTCAACCTCTACCGCTTCAAAAGGGTTGCGTCTTCAACGAGACTCACTTCACTGTTGAGAGGCAGGAAGCAAGCAAACAAGCAAGGTCCTACCCAGCATACCCTGGAATTCAAAACTCAAAAAGATTGCGAATACCTGGTAGCACGGATACCTACAGCTTCCATCCATGTCCTTGAGTCCTCTAACCCGCATCGGCCCGTCCTGGAAACAACAATGCGCATGGTTTTATAGTGTAGTGGCTTGTACTACCTACACACCTCTTCACTGGTACTTGAAGGCTTCTAAAGCCTGATAGGTCAATTCCAGCTCGCACGACATGGAAGGGTTGAACACACAATGAAAGAGAAGACATGTGGTGGTTGATGTTCCTTCCCGAGACACGGACCACTTTTTGAGAAGGTTGTGGCTTACAGTTGCAGTTGCAGTCGCAGTTGCTGTGTGTCTTTTTGGGGGGGGGGGGGGGGGGGGGGGGACAGTTGAGTTGTCAGTCAAGACATTGAAACATGTCGCCGTCGTTGTGAATTGCGAGGTTGGCTGGTAGTTCTCGAATGTGTCCGAGCGTCGATGAGATAAGGTGGACGGACAATGGGGATGGAAGAGGCCGAAGACGGACAGACGGGAGCCACATGTTCATCCCAACCATTTCTTTTGTTTCTTTTTTTTTTTTTTTTTTTTTTTTTTTTCCGTCTCGCCTCTGATTTGACTTGGCCGTTATCCGGACGGAAGGGATGGGATGCTTGCTTTATCTTTGCGCTTTCCCGTCTTGTCTTGTCCTTGTCGCGAAAACGTCATGTTCGTGCACCACAGGATACAAACAGCTCCTGTTTTCTCTTGACTTACTTTACCCCGCACATAAACGACGACCCTATTCAGGTTCAACTCCAGGCATGATCCCATAACCCGTCCATAATTCCCAGTCCGACCACGACCTGGAGTGTAATGGAAGCCAAAGAGTCGGTGTGTGTTTTGCCTCCGTGTTCCCAGCTGCTGTTCTCCGTCGCACAGCTTCTGCTTAAGAAAAGAAAAAGGTTTTTTTTTTTTTTTTTTTTTTTTTTTTTTTTTTTTTTTTTTTTTGGGAAAAGGTAGGTATGTAAAGCCCAAAAAGAAATGTCGACTGGAGTTACCCCCGCGCGTGAATGCGTCACGATGCAGACTTTGGGTCTTCGTCTCCTACGCTGCAGGGCCTGTACGTATACAACGTGGACGCTTATGCTGTACTAGGCCGCCCGCTGGGCGACCACAGTTTTAGTGACCCGGAGGTGTGTTGTAAAGAGGTAGCCACTGAAGCTAAAGTCAGGGGCAAGGTGCACCGCATTGCCTTGCACCATTCACAACGGGACCATCCACTTCCCCGTATTGCCGGGCAGTGGAAGATATACCCGGCGTCATCGGGTTGGCCTTCACGATGAACAGGAAAACAACAAGCAATATTTGCTCCGTTCGACTCGCGATCCAGAACGTATGACTTGTTAGAATTCTGTAGTGGTGTCCATGTTGTGGCTTGTTGTAGTTGGGGGTAGGTAGGTATGTGAAAGACACGGGAACATGCTTAGGCCGCCTGCTGAACAGAAAGCTTTCTCGTACCCAGCAACAATATGATTGGCTTGCGGGCCCCCACCTGGTTCAAGGCAAGGAAGTACTGCGGAGGGTAGCTTGATCCAACTGTGATGTCTCCTTGTCTATTCAAATTTTTCTTTTTCTCATCTTCCTTAGCCTTTTTTTTCTGGTGATGAAGAAAGAAAACTTTTTTTCATAGAAACAGCAATGGCGGTCAAGAGCCCCGATGGCCATCGTATGACGCCGGTCATTCTTCCGAGGTCAGTGGTCTCGGACAAGGGCATGACTAAGTTGTGAGGCTGTTGGTGCCCTGGCAAGTCCCTGGCAGTGCGCGGCGCGCGGGGCTGGAGCTAGGCAGAAGATGATGGACGGGGCTAGGATCAGAGCTGGAGCAAGAGCTGTGACACAGTTCAGGGCTCCCCTGGACCCTGCCCTCGCTGCCGTATCCTGCCCTGTGCCTGTGTTAAGTCAACAATGCATTATAGCAGCTCCTGTAGCTAGGTAGTGTAGCTTCATGCTCCTAGGACGACAGGATAAGGACCCTGGTATTCCGTGATCTACAAAACAAGAACGGGGATTTCGTTGATATTGGGCAGCAGAACGTTTCCGACGCCTGGCTGTACAAAAGTGCAACAAGTAGGGGAAGAAAAAAAAAGTAGCGGAAGATAGTTAGCATCTGTGGTTAATGCTCTTAAGATCGACTGACCTTGAAGCCCGGTGAAGCTATGCCCATGATTTGCCGGTATGCAAGCTTTACCATCTCGCGTCGATATCGGAATTTCTTCCCTGGCCTTTGGTGTTGAGCAAAGCAGGATTTAGAGAAGGCGCAAACCGCGGCACATGACCTCCGCCTTGTCTATCGCCCTGGATTCAGCAAGGACGGGTTGCGGCTTTGCGGCTTTGGGCTTCCACGAGATGTTGATCGGGTTGCGACACGCTTGGCGACGGACTATGGCATGAGGAGAGTTGGGATCGTGTTGAGGCATGACTCTTCTGCACGCAGGCAACAGAATTGTAGCACACCGCAACATGCCTGTCGCCACTACGGTGGAACGTGGAGCATGGCCGGTCCCGAACAAGAGATTGTTGGAGTCTTGCTGCTATCGACTTTCGAGGTCTTTGGGGCCGCGAGGCCTGCCAAACTGGCCAATCTGTTCGCTGTCAGTCAACGGGAACCTGAAACTCGGGTTTATTGGTTTGTTCAATCTTGCACATGTCATGTGTTCTCTGCTCTCTGCCCTGCGTGTCATTCTTCTTGTGTTGCTTCACCAAGCCATTGGGTAAGAGCGAGAAGCAATGAATGCAGGAACAGGCTAGAGCATGCCAGGCTATCGGGGCAAATTGTCCTGATAGGGACAAGCGCCGTCTATGAGCTGATGCTTGCCGACGACGCGGTAAAAGGCAGGCGAACCGTCTCTGTGGAGTAGCTGAAGCGTTGTCCCCACACTACCCTGGTCCCGGTTGGCCCCCGGTTTGCTGAAGAGGATCTCTCACCCGGAATGGCAATGTCAGCGATGAGACGGTGTTCGACAGGGGGCCGGGCCGGGTAGCTGATGGCCAGAAAATCCTTGAAGCGTAATGACCGAAGTCTGACACTGGAGAGTAGCCGGAGATGGAGATCCCCTCATCACCTCAGTCCGGGGGCCGGTCCGTCCCATGATGGCCAATCTGCATCTTTTCTTCTGTTGGTGAGCGAGATGGACACCGATAGATCAACGGCACGCACGGGTGGTCCGCTGCTTCAGGATTGCTGATCGTTGTGCCTAATAACCTACGTAACCGTCAAAGAGTGTCTAAGACGTGCCCAAGGTTATCGCGAAAGAGCAATTTCGCACAGGCTCGAATCGGAACGATGTCGCCAATCGATCCGCGAACGAACAGGAATGCGATGCGAGAGAGGATGACCAAAAAAAAAAAAAAAAAAAAAAAAAAAAAAAAAAAAAGGAAAAAAAAAGGGAAAAAAAAAGGAGTCAAATCGAAATCAAAACCAAAACTCCACCAAGTGTCAACAGGAACACAGGACTTGATCGCGTCCTCTCCCACTTCAACCCCACGGGTCTGATAAGCCCTATCAGAGTCGGCAATTCGAGAGGAGTACAGATGACGATACCTTGCCTCATGTGGAAGATAAGACATGTACTCTACACTACCTATGTAGTGTATCACCTTTGAAACTCTCGTCGTGTTCGGTAAACCGAAGTCCGTCCCGCCATCGTCAACATTTTGAAGACTTTTTGAATGCGATTGGGCATTGAACGGAATGCCATGAACTGATGAACTGGGCTCCTCTCGATTCGTAAACGTCAAGAAATCGCGGGGGCATTATCATCCCAAACCACACTCGCAGCACAGCACTGAGCACACTGGTACAAATGCACATGCTGCAGGAACAACCATACGACACTTTCGCAGTAAGTAGCTGCAACTATCATCATGCACCTGTTGCCCGGAAGACTGGAAAGTTTTTCTGTTTTGGGCGGGACGGAACAGAATGGCAGTTGGAAATAAGGGCGACTCGGGGAGAAACGGGCACTGCAAGTCTGGTCGACTCCGCTTCTGGAGCTGTGGAGACCTTGAATTCAAGGTTATGAGTGGATGGCGGAGACAGGACGTTGAAGGTGGGCTGGTGGATCAGAGCAGATCGGCACGGCCCACTCGCGCCTAGGGTTAGGTCCAGGGTCCTGTGTCCAAAAGAACAAGTATCGATTCTGAGGACAAGAAAGACAAAAGCAATGGCGCAAAATGGCACATTGGGCGCTTAGCATTGACTATTCTAGGCATTTCTTAGCCTCAGCAGCCAATCAGCTACCAGAAGTGCCCTGTTAATGTGCTTGCATGACAAAATTTTTGACCCAATCGCGTGTTAGACCGTCGCGGTTGCCCCGCTTTCCAGTCTTCCTCCTCTTCCACTTGTCACTTCCATGTCGTGACTCTGCAGTTAGGTTCCATTTCCATCCTTTCGCACAACTCGACCTTCCACTTGCTGTTCCGCCGTTTACACGGAAAAAACAACCAACCACGCAAGAAGCTGAACGAACCCCAGGCCAACCACCACGGCCGCCTCAATCTCCAGCACCTCATGGCACCCTTCTGGCGTGCTCCATGCTGGCTTGACACGCATCTCGCACCTATACCACCCAAGGCCCTGCTAATTTTATCCTCATAGCTCGTCCTGGCCAAAAGCCACTCTGCATCACTGGATACGCATCCGAATGCACACCATCGAGGCCACTTGCTAGGCCACCATGCCATGATGAAGGACACCTATCCATGCCATCGAGGACACCATCCGGGCTTGACATGCGCTACTGACGGTACCTAAACCCTTGAACCATGCCCGTCAGGCTTATGGGCCGGGGGGGCCATATTTCTTCGTAGCGGCCCGGGAGACCATACCCTTCTCGCCGAGCAACGGCGAGAGTGTGACCGAGAGTCTTTTTCTTTCTTCCTCTCTACACTATCTATCTCTCCCGTCTCTCTCTCTCTTTCGGTGTGTGTGCTACGGCCTGGAAAAGATCCGAGTCCAGACGGTATATTTGCTGCACTGTGCTTGTCACCGGTGACTGCTGCCACTGTCACTGTCCTCAACATCAAATCCATCCATGAGCCGATCTGGTTCTGTTGCTGCAATTCATCCCATATCATATCACATCTCATCCCGTCTCGTTTTTCACCTGTCCCGACAGGGGCACCCCTAGTTTACCTTTTACTCAAACCCAGACATCGATTGGAGACCAGTGTCTTCTGGCCCGTGGCTTACATAGGTACTATACCTGCACCGCACCGCTGAGGTTACCTCGTTACCCTCCTCCTTAGCTTGAAGCGCTTGCCGACATCGCGGGTTGACCATCGATTCGCCCTACATAACTCTCTGTCGCTGTCCGTCGACGTCTCACAGTCGACCTTCCTCCTGGTTCGGCTTCTTTCACTGTGACCACGCGGGTTATACCACAAGTCACATGTTCAATCCATCATAAATCTACCCGGTTCAGCGCATCCTCCAGCGCAGCGTAGCGATATTGAGGATACAAAGATCGGCACTGCCGGCCGCCGCCAAAGAAAAAAAGAAAGAAAAAAACAAAAACCAAAAAGAAAAAAGAAGAACCAACAAATAGTGGCTTCAAGCCGCCATTGATATATACCCCTCGCCTGTGTCACCCCGAGACCCATAGGGGATATCTCAACCACCATGACTGCCAACATGGTAAGCAATATCAACATGTCCTTGGGATCAGTGACGCAGAGTGCTCACCATATACTACAGGATAACCTACACTATCATGTGCGGGAACACGACCGCCACGATGAAATGCGCCAAAAGACCGGCTCTCGGGTTGAGAGCTTCTTCTCCACCAACAATGTCAAGGACAGGCCAAACTCAGTATACACCGAATTCATGGAGTCAGACTGGGAGATGGAGGAGGACGATATCTACAGCGATATGGAGGATCTGGCTCATGATGACGAGATCTCACCTCGCAACAGCATCGGTTCAGTAAGTCACTTGCACCTATTGCAAGTCCGTGATACGGACCGCTAACAAAGACCAAAGTCAAAGTCGGGCGGTCAACCAAGCTTCACAACAATGTCTTCCTACGATGAGGTCCAAACACCAAGATCGGTGCGCCAAAGAGGAGGGTTCCCGTTCCCGTTTGAGGAGATGAAGCAAGTGGAAGGTCCTAGGGGACCTCATCTTTTTCGCAGCTCCATGTCCCTGCATTCCGTCGAATATCAAAACGCCTTATCCCTATCGCCGATTACGGAACGGAAGGCCCAAGAACATGACCACTTTCTGCAACATACCGTTCATCTTACGACCCTTCCAACTAGGAGCAAGCGCGACTCCGGGCCCTTCCGATTCACCGATGTCGAACTCGACCCACGAACCCTTCCAGAATGGACTCCTGAAATGGTTGCCCAATGGATGTTCAACGCTGGTGTTGAGCTTAATACCTGTGAGAGATTTGTGGAGAACGATATCACAGGGTCCATCTTAATCACCCTAAAGTTTGAGGATCTGAAAGAGCTTGGAATCACCTCGTTTGGGATGCGAACAAGGGTCTGGCATGAAATCCACTCCATGAGGAACATCCAGAAGCCGGACCCTCAGCCCGAAACTCCGATTGAGGATGAGCCAGACCGCAAGGTTGAGAGAGAGCTGCGGAGAAACGAAAGCGTGAATAAGCCCAAGAGGAAGGCGAGCAAAGTGAGGCCAAAGATCAATGATGTGATTTCTCCTCTCGAGTCAGTCTCCATTGTAGGCATTGAGCAGCTCATGCCCAAGCCTCACAGCTGCTCCAAAGGTGAGAACTGCGCCAAGTGGAAGCGGAATCAAAAGATGATTGAGGCGTTCAAGAAGGACCACCCATTTGTCAATATTGACGAAGGCGGTATCATTATGGTTGCGGGAAATCCCGGGAACCCGCAGACGGCTGAGGCTATCGACCCCTTTCGTCCTGTCTCGGACGCCATCCCGTCGGTTGTGGCATCCTCAGACGTTATGGGACCTGGAGATCAACCAACTCTACAGTATCTCCAGGAAGCCACTCTGCGAAATGTCATGTCGCGGGATCCCCAAGACAACGTTCGCCAATTTCTTGACTTCCAGAACCACCATGCGGTCGGCTCGAGCGAGGTTCCCCCAACACCGCCGTTCGAGCTATATCCCCAGCAGCAAGCTCAAGGTCCTCATGCGAGATTACGTGCTCTTCCTAAGCTGGCCATCCCTAATGAGGGGGGCGCTGTTGCTGGACCTGTCTCTGCTCGTGCAACCTCTGCTCGTCGTCAGTCGCAGGTAATCCCTTCGTTTCGTGAGATGAGCGATCAATCTGCTTCTTCTGAAGAAGCGACTCCGGTTGGCGTATACCGCTTCGGTACACCCTTCTCTGAGATGGATGTTCCGGTCACCATGACCTCCATCCCCATCATCTCTCGAGATGTTTCCCAGTCGGTTCCGCCTGATATGAATTACCGCCACAATCCTGCCCCTCCTACGCGATCTATGTCTCGAGCCACTATCCGTCGGCCCTCCTTCCCTGTCATGCCTGCGCTGGATGAGAACTCCATCGTCACACCCCTCACTGCCGTGCAACCGCAGAACAAGTCTTTCTCTCGGAGAGCCACCATCCAGACCCAGCGCCCTCTGCAGCCCCCTCCCCGTGTGCAATACCCATGGAGCCAGACCAACCGTACCACCTTTGAGCGCGCCATCGCTCCCATGCCTGGCTCTTCGGCAGTCATTGCCCCAAGCAAGAGTGCCGGCACCAGCCCTACCGAAAGCCATGGAGTCAGCAACAACCCCAGCAGCGGAAGCCGTCTTTCTCCCACCACCACCCAGCCCACGGAAGACATGACAAATGGCGAAGCAGTTTCCTACCAAGGCCTCATGAAGAAGCGCAAAACCAAGATGCTCCGCCACGAGTGGCACGAGCACTACTTCAAGCTCCGTGGCACCCGCCTGACCATGCACAAGGACGCGGCCACGGCCAACAACAAGACGCTCGAGTACATTGACATTGATGACTACGCCATTGCTTGCAGCAGCAACGCCAACACCTCCAAGCTCAACGCCGCCTTCAAGGCCATGCACATCCGCCGCGGCTCCGGCGACGCCCAATCCAAGGAGGACATTGCCGCCTTCAGCTTCCAGTTGATTCCCCAGGACGGTAAGGCTGCCGTCAAAGGGCAGTTGCGCAAGCGGGAGAACAGCGTCCCTGGCCCATCGTCGTCGTCCGCCGCATCGGCTAGCGGGGGCGCTATCCACGGCGCCGTTAACGGCACCGGAAAGATGCACCACTTTGCTGTTAAAAGCAGAGACGAGCGCATTGACTGGATGAGGGAGTTGATGCTGGCCAAGGCGCTCAAGCAGAAGGGCGAGGGCGCCGAGGTTGTTGTCAATGGCAGCATGATTTGAATGCTTTCTTTCTTTGTATTTCTCTGTTCTCAATGTTATACCCTCTTTTCGTTTTCCTAGGGTGTTTACATCCTGATTTTGGTTTCTCTAAAAAGTTCCCACCGCAAATCCTCTCGTGGTTCTCTTATTCTACGGATGCCTTGGAAAGAGATGATTGAGATACCTTGGGATACCACTTTGTGCCGTTGAATGATTTTTTTATTCCCTTTTTTTTTTTCTTTTTGTTTCTTCGGTTGCATGTCTTCTCTTGAGCAACATTCAACGGCGTTTTATATCCCTTGCGTGTGTTTGTTGTGTTCTCTTGTCTGGAAAGAAGGAACGGGAAAGCGAAGTATAAAAAGTGGTGAGCATGGTAGATGAAGGCTAGGTTGTGTACTGTCAGTTTGTGATATCAACACGTAGTACCTGATCCGGTGTGGGATTACAGGAATTGGGGAACGTTGGGTTTACTTTTTACGATTTTACGACGAGTTATGACCCTTCGATACCTCTTGCTTTCTTCTTGTCAAACGTTCACGTTGTCTTTCTTTTCAAGCTATTAGATATGACGCCGTTTTTGGGTAGTGCACGATTTTGACCATCTGGCGACATTTGGTGTGCATTTCCCTCCACGGCAAAACAGAAAACCTACATGAAACTACATAGGGAGGGAATCAAGCAGGGACTGGGAAAAGGTGGAGGAAGGAAGAGTTCACCACTGCATGCTGGATCTGGATACAGAAGCATGGCTCTCGGACAAGCATATCTAAATTGGAAACTAGCTAGCTGGCTATTCAGTCAATTATGCATGCCCCTAATGAGGGAAAATGGAAGAAAAGTTAAATCGCAACCACCTTTTTTTACCTTCTCAGACCAGCGTGATCATACGTCTTGATGTTAGTCACATCTGTCTAGGCCTCCAGATCTTTCTTCGTATTCGAGATAGATGATGCCATTATTGAAACCCGACAACGCCCGATCAACCACGCTAGGTGAGCCCGAAGAGGACGTTGATCTTTCAGTGAGGCAAAAGCAACCCATCAGAGCGACCTTCTTTTGCCATCTCAAATCAAAGCTCGCCGTCGGGGACTTCGCCCGAAGGTGACCTTCTTGCTACACATTAGCCACCATATTCACCAACCACCTTTAGTTCCCGGTGAAGGATCAGCAGACTGCAACTCCCGTTTTACTCTTTCATAAATGTAGGCCCTCATCAGGTTTTGAAGAGCCGAGCCCAGACACATCACATGAACAAAAGTGGCTGTGTGTGTGTGTGTGTGTTAATGTGGTCTATTAGCATAGTGCAAGTGACAATAAAACTTGGGCACCCACCAAAGAGTGTGTGGGTGCGTAGCAAACGAGACAAGCAGGCAGTGAGAAGAACGTTACTTAGCCGCCCGAAGCACGCTTCGCGCGTGTAGCAAAAAGACGGGGATTCCCTTGGTATGGATACAGGAGGTGCCCAGGTGGCAGAAAAGGAAACTCGGCGCTTAGGGGCAGGTGGGATGAGAGGTCGGTGTGAGTGGATGTGATGAATGCCAAGAGAGTGTTCCGGGTACAGGAGCAGGAAGGAGCACTCGGCTTTTGCCTTCCTTACACCTTAGGTCCTTCTAAGTAGGTACCTTTCACTTGATAGGTCGACGAGGGAACGAACTGAATGGATTCGGAACTGTAGAAACACAGGGATGGAAGGGACGGACTTGGACGCTCTTGCATTTCTCTCTTTCTATTGCCTTCAAACCCACCCATTCCTTCCACTTTGGGATTCAGTTCACAGAAGGACAGAAGGATAGGTAGGTATTATTAGTACATTAAATCGCCACCATACCTCTAGTCATGATAGTATGCTTTCCTGAACACCTAGACACACAGTGACCACAACCTGCTCAGGGGAAAGAGGCAGCCAGGCATCAACAATGGGCCGTTCACTTGTCCGGGTGGCAATAATACCGTGACGGTCTGGTGGTCAGTTCGACCATCGGCCAAGTCTCCGAAGGAGCGGCGAGGTCCGCGAGAACAGTACAATGTGATAGCTGTCGGTGAGGCAAAAGGATGCACGAATGAAACTGAGGTGAAAACCACCACTTTGGATACTAGATGAAGTCATTCCAGGCCTCTCTCTCTGGGCCTCGTTTAGGCCTTAATCACGACCTGTCCGCGAACGGTCTCTTCAAGCACCACACAAGAGTCCGATTCGTTCGTCTGCTCAACCTTGTCGCCTCCTTTCTTCCCTTTCTTCACGCTTCTCTATGTAATAGACGTTGATCACGATCAAAACACAACCGTTTGGAGCAAGCTATCCAAGATTGACGGTCCTAGATAGCGGGAATATCTTATCAGCAAGTACATATCTGTGAATCTACCCTTCGCCGTCCTCATGACATTGTTCTTTTCAACAATTACTATAGCCGAGCAACACGAAAACTCCGAGATCAGTCGTGACTGATAGGTAGGTAACTTCGAAATGCTCTATCAATCCGTAACACGGCGGTTTGTTGGCTATACCAAACCATCTTGAAGCATCTTCTCATGAATCCCACATTCTGATAATTACCTCGAGTAGAAATGACAGATGGTGATATGTCAGACTAGGAATTAGAATAGAACCCAACTTACCCCATTTTATAAAATAAATTATCGCATTGTCCAAAGCAAAACCGTTGCGGGTCCCACGCACATCTTCCCGCTGTGTGTCTCCCTCGTAGCAGCGTCAAAGACCTTCAGCATGACCTTGAAACTTTCCTCCGGCTTACCCTACCCCTCTTGAAGGTTCAACGTGCGTGCCCCAGCGTTTCCCATCTTGGTTTTGTCTCAAATGTTTCGGACGGTATTCGTGTCAGCTAATTTCCAGGTATTGCTGGTACTTGAAATGATACAAAAAACTAAGATACAAAAATATAAAAAAAAGGAAACCCAGACAAAATAAGGGGTAAGATATGGCTCACCCAGGGTCAGTAGAGAAGGAGATCAACCAGGGCTCCTCGTCACGCAGTCTGTTGGTCAAGTAATACTGGGCTGCTTTCGCTACACTGTACATACGCTGCGTTGGGGACGGCGGCAGATTGAGCGATCTGTACTAGGGACAATCAGTGACCAAACAAACCGCAATAACAACCCTTCCACTTATTTCTGGATCCTTTGATTACTCTACTCAGATTCTTCTCACCTGGAATGTCAACTCCCACCTCTGGTTCCAAACACATCTACAAGCTGGGTATGAAGAGGCTGGAAGAACTCACATCGTCCAAACGCGCCCCCTTCCCCTTGCACTTTCCATCGTAACCCAAACATCCTCTTTATCCTCGTCCTTTACTTTCTCCTTCTTCTGGGCGGCCGTCCTCCCCTCCCAAAAAAAACAGAGCCAAAAACCAACCCCTTCATCAGCTCCACAAACCCAAACATATTCGTCTTCTGTTAATATCATCCACCTGGGCTTCCCTAACCTTCGGCTACACATATACCGTCGAGGCGTTGGCAATGGCTACGTCAATGGTGTCGATACCATGCTTCTCCGCGAGCTCCTGCACAGCAGCGGCTACGTCGGCGCGCACGTTCGGTCCGATGTTGACGATGGGCAGGCGTAAAGTGTCCAAAGGGTGGATGGGGAGACTCGAAAGGGATTGAGAGGTCGGGTGGAGAGGGTTGCGGACGGCGGCTATGACGGTTATTTCTGAGACGCTGGAGGTAGGAGGGGAGTAGGAGGCGGCAGCGGAGACGGTGGTTGAAGCCGGTGATGAGGATGGTTATTATGGTGGGAGTGGTGGTGGTGCCTATTTTGGACTGTCAAATGGGTTAAAACCGTTGTCGAATGACGGTGAGATTCAAGTGTCCTGGTTGTTTGACATCTCGTTTTACGCTTATGATTTTGGCGATTGTGTGCTTTGATACCTCGCCATTTTCACTATGATCTCTCGCAAGAAGTATGTTATCATGACTTGAAGGAAGGAGGCGGTGATGTCATGATCAATGTGCAAAATCAGGTGGAGGTATTTCCAACAGCGTCAATGGGTGGAGGGATGACAAAGAGAAAGGCAGTGTGAGTTTGTAGAATTCGTGGGTGCAGTACCTAGAATCCAGAATGCCCGACCTCCGGACGTTTTGGCAGTGATAGTTTGGTGTTTTGGAGGTTCCGGAGATTTGAAATATCGAAACAAGTTGGTAACGTGCATACGTCGAGCGGCTACCGGATCAAGCCTCGTGACTTCTGAAGATAGTCGAATGGGTAGTGTTTTACGACCTGATAACATGCCTCAACCCATGGCATCACACAGAGAACGTGGCGTACTCGAGATCCGCCCCATCAATATCGATGTGTGACATTGTGTACACGCTGTATAGCCGTCAAACAGTACTATAGCTCCAAATTGTGTCGGATGGTCAAATGCTCCGGGTCACGTCGAGTCTTCGAAAGAAAGGTCAGTGTCCCCGGGCCCGTATATGCACCGAGCCAGGTTCCGTGTGGCCCGTGCAAAGCAGCTGTTTCCGCTCCGTCATTCAGGTCGGCACCCGGCGCTTGGCGAGCGGGCGCTAAGCCTTTGTCGGCTCAAGTAGTGCACACTATTTCTAGTGACGCTCAGTGGAGATCAAGTGACCCCTGAATGAACCTAACAGTGGATCCCTGCTAGCGTAGCATTGTAGGCGCGGACGGGAAGGATTGTGGACCAACCAAGCTGCATCTTGTCATCTTGACTTTGACAACTCTAAACACCCTAAGCCATCTGCCACTCATACGCCCACTCATCATTCATCGCCAGGTCGTCGGCGCTTCACGTCAACCAAGCACTTGCTCAAAAGCGAAGCGCTTTGAGACCTTTTTCACTGCCTTGATCCACACCTTGTCTAGCCCTGACGATGCCCGGTCACACTCACCCAATCTCAAATTTCACCCTGCATCCGCTGACTACACCAGACTGACGAGACTGACTGACCACCATGGCCCCATCGCCGCCCCGTCGTCGCTCCATCGCTCGCCCCCCCGCATCTATGAATGGCATGCCCATCCCGGGGTTACAGATAGCAAGGGCCACATACATATGCCAATCTGCGTGGTACCGTAGACGGGAAGCCTATTGAGGTTCCAGGGCTCACCCATTCGCGCCGGTGGTTCCTTGGATGTTGAATAGCGCCAGGGGTATTCAACTTGGGTGAGAAGCGGTTGGAGGAGAGCGTTGCGCTGGTCTACTCCATTGGGCCAAATGATGCGTTTCCGCTGCTTTCTGCAAAGATTTTTTCTTTGTAGTAATCAGACGCATGCTTGCCTGTCCATGTGTCAGTCATCTAGACTATCCAGACACAAGCGGCTTGTGAGCCAGAGGGCCGGCACCCCCAGTTGTCGATATACCCATGATACCTTAACCAAGCCGTTCCTGACTTCCTCTCCCATTTGCCTCAATCTTCTCTTTCCTGATTTCTTGTCCCGTTCGTCGTTTGACTGGTCAACGTCGTTGTCATTTTCTTTGTTTGTCGTGATTCCGGGGTTACGGCTTCTCATCCGCCTCTCAAACGCATTGTCACATTATATCCCAAGTCTTCTGATTCTTCTTTACCTTTGTTTTTCTTTCTCCACGTTGCCGGCCACAAGTGAGACTTCCTACCCAATTTTCGAGCCGTCTCGACTGTAACCGACATAATAGCCGACATCTCCTTCACCCAGTCCACTACTCAGCACGGCCCTGCTCGAGTAGGTATTCACAATGCCGGGGCCGCGGCGACTACTACAGCAAGCGAGCTCACTACTACTGGTCGTCGTCGCCTTGAGCGCGACAACAGTCTCAGCCGTACCAGCTAGCCAGCTGTTCCAACGACAGTCAACATCAACATGTGCGGCCGAGGGCTTCTCAAAGTGCCCCCAGGCCGGCTTGCCCGATAACTTTTGCTGTCCGGCCGACTCGACATGCATTCCTTTGGCCGCAAATACTGCGGCTCTTTGCTGCCCAAATGGGCAAGACTGCTCGATGATACAACCGATTTCCTGCGACACTAGCAAGCAGGATCCAGTGAAGAACCCTCAAGCAGGCCTCAAGACCACTGTTTTTGATGTGCCTTTGAAGCGGTGTGGTGATAGATGCTGTCCATGGGGTTACTCTTGCAATACCGAAGGTTATTGTCAAAAGGATGCGGATCAGTCAAAGACGCCTCAAGAGATGAATAACAAGCCATCGCCAAGCGTAACGACAACAGCAACCCAAGTGCCAATTAGCAGTTCTCAATCCTCCCAGACAACATCCAAATCAATCTTCTCTGTGACCGAGCTTCCTGCAGGAACCGACAAGCCAACAGCAACCAATAAGCCGACAGCAACCGACAAGCCTACAGAAACCGGCAAGCCTGCAGCAAGTGGTAACCAGTCAGCAGGGAGTGCAAAGCCGGTGGAAAGCGGAAAGCCCGACCAACAAGATGATGATGATGATGACGATGATGATGAGGACGGAGGAAGTCCCAATCTCCTCATCGCTGGCGTGGTTGCAGGTGTTGTGGTCTTCATCATCGGCGGCCTGATTACCCTCTACCTCTGCATCCTGAACCGCAGAGGCAAGGAATCCGGAGCTGGAGCCAGTCAACACGGCCATGGCGAGAAACCCCGCCTGAACCGATCCACGTCCTCCTTCGGCAACATCATCAGCAACCCCATCGTTGCCGAGGACACCATCCGAACCGACTTCAACCGCTCAGTCTCCGCCCAATCGCACCGCGGCCCTGACTCCGACTTTGCAGCAGTATCAGGCAACGTCAACCCCTTTGATACTCCCCCTCGCGGGTCTCCAAACCACCACATCCGCAACAACAGCCGGGCCAAAACCCCGTCCGAGGGACAGGACAGCAGCATAGCCTACGGTGGTTACGGACGTAACGTCAGTGGAAACGTTCCCGGCCCATCAGCCTACACCGGCACCAGCATCAGCAGCCGCAACAACTCCCCTCCACCAGCAGCAGCAGGCGGTCGACCCGGCTACACCACACCACCCATTACCCCCTGGGGCGCAACGAGCGGACAAGAAAGCCCCCGCGAACCTAGCGGAATCAGCATCAACGTGTTCGCTGACCCACGAACATTGACTCCCGAGCGGCTTGCCAAGAGCAATTCCAATGCCAACGCCAACGCCAACAGCAACACGTACTCCAAATTCATCAACACCAACACCACTAATTACCCCTATCTTAATAACACCGATGCCAATTCCGATACTTACAACACCGATGATTACGACCCCTTCAATCCCGATAACCACCAGGGGCAATCAACCAGACCAGTGACAACCTTCACGGCAATGATGGAGGAGGCCGACTTGGGTGCCGTGGCGAGGGGTGCTAAGTACGTGCCGCCTACGCCCAAGACTCCGGCTGGGTTGCTGGGACCGTCGGTACCGGGGGCGGGTAACATGCCGAATAGGTTCTAGTAGGTTTTGCTCGCGAGCGAGCTGTCCCATGTGTGTGTGTGTGTGCCGTGGTGGTTTCCTTACGCGAGTTTGGGGATCATCGGTGTTGATGTCCGTGACGGGGAATATTGGCCGAAAGAGAAATGCAGATGATTGGAAACGAGATTCTGTTTGGGAACCACAAGGGCATACACATTTCTGATTTTTTTTTTCTTTTTTTTTTTTTTTTTTTTTTTTTTTTTTTTTTTTTCAATGTTCCTGGTCTGTCTGATTCTTTTTCCATGTCGAGAGCGAGGCGGTGGGCTGGATCCAACGATTCTTTTTCGACACGACATCATACTCATCTACATTTCTTTTTGCCCCAATTGTCTTCTTTCCTTGTTCCCTTCGGAAGACAAAAAAAGGCGTTTTGCGTTGCATTGTGTTGCATTTTTTTCCCTTTTTTTCCCTTTCCTTTTCCGCATTTTTTCGTATTTTTGAAAAGACGGGGGGAAGGGAGGCTTGGCTGCGTTGCAGTTTACATAGGGGGAGAGGAATCAGGAGGTGGTGGCAGAGGATGGGATAAAGGATACCATTTTCACACTGGTCTGTGCCAAGAGATTTGAAACCAAGACAAGGACGGAATGATTTTGGACAGAAGGATGACGGAAGGATGGACCGTTATTATCCAAGAGGAAAGGGAGATGGCAAAGTATGAGGGGTGGTGGAGGAGAAGGAGGAGGCTGCAAATTCCAGTATCCCAGCGTCATTGATACCCCGTAGAATGCATCATCCATTTCTGTATCCAGTTATTTCTTTCACGTATCTGATTTACCCCCCGAGCACCCCGATTAGGCTTGGCAATTTCATAACCTGAGTTACTTCGTGTTGAATCTCTCAGATTTGTGCATTTCCATATCTTCAACGTGCACCTCCCTAGATTGTCTTACGAGGTCCTCTTAGAAACTTCCCAGTTCATATCCTCATTAGAGGCAAGTCTATATACACAAAGTGCCCCAAAATGATTAGAACGCCGATACCAAAACCGTACAAATGCTCTCCTCTATGCCCGTCACCTTTATGTGAATCTGCCAAAACATGCGAAAAGGGGTATCATGTCCATATCGCCTACACCATACGCCCCCCTTCCACTCTTTCCAAGAACTGGAGGCGGATGCGAAAAATGCCGCCTACTATGCCGCCTGCTCATTTGTTTCTCGAAGTGCTGTGAAGAGCCGTTGTTGCTACCTGTCCACCATGTGCGTAAAAAAGCACAGCTATCCTTCGGCTGTACCTAGAAGCCTGGGAATACTTTGCGTCGTAATCTCTCCCCTGTGTAGCATAGATGGTCAATACGGAGCTCCTAGGGCAACAAAGAACGATCAACTTACAGGCTGGTGCTCGTGACTCCCCGTCGTCGATATCAGATCCGCCAGCCAGTTCCCGCATCCGCTTCCTCCCGAGCACAGGAGGACTACCCCTCTGCACATTACCATTATTGTTGCTTCCGACTTGTTTTTGTTGCTTTCGGCCCGCGCGTTGGATAGAGCCCTGTCTGATTGACATTCGGGATGGAGTCGTGGCAATTGTTGCTGCATCCGCAGCTTTGGAGTCATCTCCTCCTCCCCCCAGTAAGCTCCTAAGACTCTTGCCCCCCCGGATTGGCTTTCCTTGATCAACCATTTCGTATTCCGAACAAGAATCTTCGACTGTTATCCGGTCTCGTAGTCGTCGCACCGCCCGTTCTCGCCGCACCATCGCATTGGTAATTTTGGGACAGTACCCGCTGGGCAGCATGCAAGCTTTGCAAATCGGACATAGCGAGCTGTTTTCGCTGAGAAACTCGTCGATACATTGCGTGTGGAAGATATGCCCGCAGGGAATCTCGCGGATAACCGTAACTCGGTTCTGGTACGGTTCCAAGCAGATAGCGCATGCGGGCTGATAGTCGGTCGCAACGGTGCTGGGGGCTTTCTCTGACATAGCCACGGTTAGCCCAGAAACGGACTGCGCGGTGGCTGCTTCCGACTGAGTGCGACTGCCTCCCCTGGGCCTATCGGGACGCAAAGATCTCGGCGATGTTGGCACACTGATGCTGTCCGGCTCGTAATGGTAAGTAAAAAGAGGAAACGTGTCGATGACCTCCATAGGCACCCTCAATCGCTTGATACCCATTCGTTCTAGGTTGACCTCGCCGGAAATAACACGTCTGCGCAGGGATGAGCGACGCTTGGCTTGGATGAAATGCATCAAGAGCGAAATCCCGATAATAGCACCCAGGAGAACACCAATGATGATCAGGATGTAGACCCATATTCCAGGTAGAGCGGTGTCGGTTGAAACCGACAACTCGGTCCATACTCGTACGAAATCGCCCGGGCTAGGATTATACACTTGGGCGATTCTATCACCAAAGGGTATTTCCGACACGTTACCCGAGTACAAGCTCAACTGGTTCATAACTCGCTGACCAGCGGCACCTGACATGGCATAGATGGGATATCCAGCTTGAGATCTCCATTTTCCACCGTCTCCAATATCCCATTCATCCGAACTACCCTTGGGAGGTTTTTCGGTCGAGTTGTCGGGTTTGTAGAAGATGAGACCTCGAACCGGGTCTTGACGAGCTGAGATCAAGAAGTGTCGAGCACACTGGGCGTTAATCCAAGGCACAAGGGCGATAAGGTTGATATTAGCGGGCGGAAGCTGAGCACGACGAGGAGCGCTTTCTGGTATGTATGCGGTCAAGTTATCCACACAAGGGTATCTCTCGGAAAGGTCGGGGACGTATAGTAGACCCTGAATGACGCCATTCTGGGTTGCTGCATACTTGGAGGCCAGAACCGTTATATTCTCGGCGATGCGGGTCGAAACTGTGAGTGTGTGCTATTGACAGCGTGTCAATGAAAGGTCTCGCATGACAGCAAGGAAAACTACCAGACATACTGTTAAAGCCGTCACATTTCTGATGACGGTGTTGGAAATAGTTGTGCCACCGCGCCAGGCTGGATTGCTAAGTAACAGGCTGCACCAAGTTGAAGCAGGTCAGCAAGGACAGTTCCGACGCTGTGTCGTCTAGCACAGGGGAGCTCGCGATCTCGGGACTAAAGCTGGTGCCATAGCGATCCATCGCGTCCGAAGCCATATGGCTTTGGCTTAGGATGCAGATGAAATCTTGGCGATCGAACTTGGCGACAGAGAAAACGAGGCAGAGTTGGAACTTGGCTGGGCTTAGGAAGGGGAAGCTCCAGTGCAGGGTCCACTTGGAGTGGGCTAAGAAGGAACTGAAGGAAAGGTGGACGAGATGGGGGAGTCGGATGAACCACAAGTGGGAAGGACGACGACGTACACGACATTCCGAATCTCATCGACAGCTGCAACAATAATCGTGTCAGTAGATGGTCGTCAATAATTGAGTGGGTGTGACGAGGTCGAAGATGTGTCCCCGTGGCGGCGATAGACGGTGTTCGTTTCCTGAGGCTTGGCGAGGCTTGGCTAGCCAAGAGGTGATGGCCTCAGGAGCATCGACCGGACGCCAAGCACTAGGAAAGCGGAAGCGGAGGGGAGGGGGGGATGGGTGCTTTTCGGGGTGCTTTTCGGAGGGGCTTCGAATTATAGGGGGGGGAAAGAGAGAGAGCGACGGGACCACCCACACATAGACATTGTTGGGCATTTCGAAGGGTTTACAGCGGCCCTTCGGCTCCGGGTCTTATGGCATCCGCAAAACAGCCGTCTTTTTGCGAAAGAAGCCGTAGGGGAAAATGGGCTGTGGGTGCTGCTGCCCTGCCGCTGCTGCTGGAGGTTGAAGGAGAGAGGGTTTAGTCGATGGCGAAAAGAAAGGACGGACAGCCGGGCGAAAGATTGGAAGTCGTTAGGGGAGAACTGGGATGTTTCAGGGTTTGGTCGGTATGAAGTTAGGGGGAAGATTGGCGACAATGGAAGTTGGCGTGCTCGAGGTTGCTTGCAAAGTCAAGTGGAGAGGCTCGCTTTTCGCTGCCGTGGCTGCCAATTCCCAATCAACTCGACAAACTTTGGAAGGACGGATGCTGCGCGCCCTCTGCCTGGTTGCACTGTCTGCTGCTGTTGCAAGGAAAGAGTGACGGGGAGATGGGAAAAGAGCCAAGATCTGGCCGACCGTGAAGCCAAGAAAACGGGAACGGCGAGTGCAGATGTTGCAGTGCAGATTGCAGCAGAAGGCACGTTCGGCGGGAACGCAGACCACAAAGACCGACCGAACCGACGGGACAAGACAAGGCGGACGGGATGGAGAAGCCAGGCGATGCGATGGGGATGCCGGAGCGCAGCCGCTCGCCGCTCGCCGGGGGGATGCCAGTGATTTTTCAGGTGTCGACTGCGGTTTCACTCCCAAGTTGACGTCTTTTGTCATCCACCCGACCACAGTCTAGCGTGGTTTTATTATTACCGGGCAAGTACATGCCCGGCCGTTCCTGTCCGTGCGTTTTCACCCACCCACTCACTCCCAACGCAAACGTCTTTTCCGACGTCCCATCGTCCATCATACATATTTCCATTCGGCTGCACAATGCCCCGCTGCGTCCTGCTTCGCTGCTTTCCTCACCTTTCTTTTTCTTTTCGCAGACCGATCTGAACTCCTTGCGATGCGTTGTGCGTCCCGCCTTTTTCCCAGAGGCGAAAGCTGCATCGCCAGCAAGGTCGCCTGCTGTTCAGCCGAAGAAAGGGGGTGGAGGCATGGTGAAGTGTCTGTCCAAATTTGGAGATAGGACTGCTACGGAACCGTCAAGACACTTCAACTCGCTATGAGCGATGGCAAAAGAAAGAATGAATGAATGAAAAAAGCCGGCGACAGCTCCCGCGGAGCGTCTCAGCAAGACAAAAGCGAGGTGCATTCTGGGATCATGGGAGTGCCGTCGCTTGCACCTTCCCTTCGCTTCCCTTGCCCCTTCGATGCTGCGTCCGACATCTCTTCCATTTCAAGATAAGGTACTTTAGGTACGATTTGTTTTTTATGCTATTCGGCGTCAACAATAAAAGAAGGGCTCCTTGCTTCGCCTTGCCCACTCAGCCAGGTGAGGCTTCGGATCGCACGCTTATTCCGTTCGCGTACACCACCCCATCCGAAAGACGGGGACGGGGCACAATAGGGTGTTGATCTCGACGTGATGACTGGATGGCCGGAGATAAAAGGAAATAGGTGTGAGTATGGTATGTTCACGGATTCATCATCCTGACGTCTGAAATTTGTCACAGATGACTTCTCAACTCGCTTTCCTCAAAAGCCTGTTGTTTTGTAGACTCCAATATTTTAGCAAAGCGAACCAGCGATCGACATGCTCTACAAGCGCTCGGTATCAAACCGAACCAAACATCGAACCATGACTAAGCCAAGTACACCTCTGCATGGATATACAAGGGCAGCGTGGTACACACAGTCAAGGCGCTAGTGGCACTACAGAAAACTTCGGCTTTAAGAAGATCAAAATTGCCATTTCTCGTACAGACTGCCACCCTGAGCATGGAAGTTTTGCCACTCCCAGAGATCGCCCAATTGACGAGGTGCCTTTTTACATCGACGCAGAGGTGTACCATAGTGTACAGACAGGTTTCCAACGACTCAAGAACCAAGTTTCATGTCCAATACATCAAACTAGCAATCCCTCAAAAGCAAAACTCGATATCTTAGTAGAAGCACCGACCTCACTTCCTAGCTTAACCTTTGGCTCCACTATGAAATCTAACTGGATACCCGAGTCTCTCGGAATGCGCGCAACGCTCCTTATTCTTGACTGTGTCGAAGACCATTCCAGACTTTCAGCTGGTGATCTTCACTTACCTACAGTATACCATACTAATCAAGTCATCACCCCCTTTTCTTGGACTACCTATTACAAATGCTACGCGTTGAAAGCTTCCATCATCAAAGAACTGCCTTTCTCCCATGCCGAATTCCGTCGTCCGATGGTTTGGGTAATCTGCTCGCAGTCGCCCATGGTAATGTCGATCTTGGCCCTCAAACAATCGAACGGGAACTGCCTAACAAAACTGTTAGTAATATAGCACACCTGGTTAGTAATATACTATGTAGTACATATGAACCCACAACATTTGTGATTCGGCATTTACAAGATCACCGGGTGATCACCCGTCTCAATCCCTTGTTCCTCTTGTTTTATTTCATTTTTATATTTTCACTTGATTTTTTTCCCCCTTGGTACGCCTAGCCGGTATCACCAAGACGATAGTCCGAATGATTGACAAGCAAGCAGCTGCGTCCCGTCTGCCATGCTCTATTGGGAGAAAGTTTTCATGTTTCACAAGAAACAACAGCTGTGAACGTAAACCCGTCTCAATCACCTGAGTAGGTACATAGGGTATGACAAAGGTACCGCAATGGTCAAGAGACACGTATACTTTCTTTTTCCCTCCTCCCCCCTTCCCCCATATTAATCTACAAGTGACAGGTGCTCAACGGGCATACCGGTTCTATACTACATACATATCCATCCATATACTTGTATGTACCGAACTTATTCCACCTCTCACCTGAACCGGACTGTCCTCTTCTTGGCCATGGGGCTTGTCAAGGGGAGATACAAATCAGTCACGGTTACACCAGGCTTAACCTATACATTACGCCGTGAACAATTAAGCATCTTCATAGGTTGCTGCCGAGCGTTGCCCAGGAGCTTGCGCTACTCAAGCCATCTGCGTGTGCCAGGATAACCATGGCATGGCATGTTCCCGTCGGTATCTGACTGGATTTTGGTGTCACTGGATTCATTTGATACAGACATCCGGGTCTGACAAGGTGAGTTTGACATTTTAACAGATGTTGTCAAGTTTGACACATGTAGGTGGGTAGGTAGGTACAGCTGAGAAGAGGGCTCAATTTCAATCAACTAAAAGTGAAAGAGAGAAAGATCAGATTTCGTCAGAACAACAGTTGTGCTGCATGTATATATACCTCTATATATAAGAAATGAATCATTTCGACTGATCCTCCCTTGAGCTTTACCTCGTGCTCAACTTGGATGGTTTCAAAACCGGGCTGGACATACATCGATCGAGTGACCGTGAGTAAAGCCAGTTCGATCAAATCTTTGACCAAATCCAACGTACGAGTCCCAATGCGAGACGAGACAAAACATTAGCAATGGCAAGACATGGCATGGCATGGCATGGCAATCGAGACACCGATACACTCTGCCGTCCTTCACTGGTGCTCGGTTCACGTACCTACTTTTAGCTACCGCGCTGAAACGGACCAGTGCGGTCTCAGCAAGGCAAGGCTGATAACCTAACAGTCAATAGTCAAGATTCAGTTTGTCACCGATCACTCGGCATGGAGCCTGAGGGCTTGTGAAGGGGGAGAAATCAGAGGCTGAAACTTCAGAGGTAGAAAGGCTACAACTGGCAGCGGTCAGGTATGTTTTCAACAGCTGATGTGTTGTGGTAGCTACCTAGTGAGCTAATGTCGTGAAGGAGGCAGAGATCATGCGGAGTAAGGAGTAGTCGAACATGTAGGTCGGTATGAGGTCCTTAGGAGATGTACTAAAAAAATTGGTCAAGTAAGCAGAGAAAGTTGAATGTCGATGTCACAATGTGCGTCCATCTTTCAAAGTACTATATTTACAATTCGCATTTGACCTATCCGTTTGTTGCTTCGTTGCCGTTATCCTGCTTTCCTCTTCCACACACACACATTTGGTTCATTGGTGATATACACATGTAAAAGTATAGATGGCAGCTGCCGGGGCTGGCTTGGTTTTTACTTTCCTTTCTCTTTTTCCGGCCGGTCTCACCGTCATGCTATCCTATCGTACAGAACAACTTTTCCCTATATATCCGGGTTCCATATAGACAGACAAAGTCACAGAAGTAACTTGGGCAGCAACCGTACAATAATCCATCTCCATCCCGTTCCACTCGCTCTTTCTACCCCTCGGACAAGGTGACAGCCGTCGGACTGTCGATGGCGGCGGTAGGCATGAACTGATGGACCAGTAGTCGCGAGTAGTTCAGAACCAAAAAGTCGAGGCTTAAGCTTTCACGCTCCCGCTTAAGTTCCTACTTCAATTCCTCCTCACTCCCTCCTCTTCCCCCACAGAATGGAAGCAAGAGGCTAAACAGAGCTATCACCGCCCGTCAGGATCCTGGTCTCCAGCCTGGCCTCCTCCTCGACCTTAGCCCAATCAATCATGTTCCACCAGCTCTGCGCATACGCCAGCTTACCACCCATACCACCCACACCAGTTCCGTATTCGCGGAGCCACGCGTACTCCCACGTGTTGAGGCACAAGATCGGAATCAAATCAGTGCCGCCGGGAGCCGTAGGTTCAAGCTTGTTGCCCTTGAACCCAGCTGCGCTGCGCTCGAGGAAGCGCTGGCCGTTGCTCAAGCCCTGGGGAGAGCTCCCGATGGAAGTTTGGGCGTCCATCTCCTGGCGGCGCCAGTGGGCGCCCGGGTAAGGAGAACCAGCCAAGTAGGTGGCCATGACGCGGAGGGCGACCGGCTGACCGGGAAGCTGGGTGCGGACGAGCCAGACGAAACCGGGACCGAACATGGAGACGGCGGTGCCGATCATCTCGTCGCGGAGCGTGTCGACGGAGCCGAAGTTCTCGTTGATGTGGTAAAATAGCTTGTCGCCCATCTTGACGGGGACCGGGGACAGGTGGTCGAAGAAGAAGTGGTTGTTGTGCGCCATGGAGGCGTGGTTGAACACATGGGCGAGCTCGGGGTCGCGTGCGGTGGCGAGGACGATGGACTTGGTGTCTTTTTGCTCAAAGTCGGTGCCTGTTTGACGAAAGAGAAGTAAGTAAAGTGGTTTGTCGGTTAGATATCTCCCATGCAGCAAAATAGGTGACATCATGTCTCCCTCCCCCCGGGTAGGCAGGGCATGCTCTGACTTGAGCTTCAATCCCCTTCCTTCTATTTCCTCCACCAATTCCTTTGTGACCGAACCACTGCGCGAACGCCTCCTCTTCCTCTCAGGCTTAACAGCATCCAAGCTTGGCGTTTTTGACCAAAGCATACCAATTCCTCGCAGCCAGTAATCCTCGCACGTAACCTTCATCCATGCCATGCCGTGCCATGCCGTGCCACATAATAGCGCAGCGACACCAAAACCCCAAAACAAGCATGTTCTGTGTTGTTGTGTCATCCGTACGTACCTACTACAAGCGCGTTAAGCTTCTCCAAAATGAAGGTCTGGTACTCGGTATAGGCCATGTTGACGGAGCCGGGGCTGAGGAAGTTGCGGATGCCCTCTTGCTCGAAGTTGTCGCGAAGCGGCATGAGGTAGTGCTGCCATCTCCTTTGGGCGGCGATGCTGGCGGCGCCAGCGCCGGCGACGGCGGACTGGTTGGTGGCGACTCCGTTGACGGCACGGCCGAGGAGCGAGCTTGTCGCACGGGGTATCCTTAGACCCATGGAGCCGATCATTTTGTCTTTTGTTTTTTTGTTTTTGGTCTTTTTCTCCGTAAGAAAACGGCCCGGGGGTCGGAGGAAAGGTTCGGTGGGAGGGAAGGTCGGCCGGTCGTTCGGTCGGGGGAGATGGACGGTGGACGGTGTGTGTGGGGGGCGGACCTTGAGGACGGACGGAGACAACTTCAAGACTGGACGGGCTGCCGGCGCAGAGCGGACGCACTTCAAAACACACGGGCACTCAACCCCGGAAGACGGTCGAGGTGGGACGCGACTTTCGAGACTTTTTTTGCTCCGCTGCGGAAGGACCCGGCCATTGGAGCAGGGACCAATCATTGGGACGAACTGGCGGCTGGCAGCCTCACCGTCTTCGCAAAGAGCCACCCTTGACCCTAACCCTGGATATGATTGAGAGGTACATACCGTCTTCGGTGGGGTAGCTGTTTGCCAATTCTGGAGTTCCGTACTGTACTTGGCGTTCACATTGACTTCGTCTTCAACCGTTTCGATGATGTACTATTGCACAGATACTGGGCATCTTTCTCTACTTTGCTCGTGTATGTGCTATGTTCATTATCGTACTTTGACCGATATTCTGTGACGCTATTGTTAAATAATTCCGTGGACGCCGTTGCTCGAACTCCGAACAACTAACAAGAATCACGAGGCGAACTGGACGCCCTCACCGGACTTCCCCCACCAGTACTACCTGACGCCAAAAACGACCCGATGATGCAGTATCCCGAACAGAATGAGGAATATAAACAGTGAACACCGACACCCCCTTTGACTCAATTTCCCTTCCTTGCCTGGTCACTTAAACGTCATCCTCCACCATCGCAAGAACATCAAGCTCGTTCCTGACCATCTGCTCGAACTCTTCACGACTGATGCCAGCGCCGCGCGACAACTGGAATAGACTTCGAATCGTCCTTGAGACGTGCTGTTTAACGCCAAACTCGACTCGATCTTGCGCTTCCGCCGTTTCTTCGAGCTTGGCCACCATGCGGGATCCGTTTGAGCTGGCGCTACTGGCTGGGCGCGGATGAGCAAGGCTTTCCATCCTCTCCTCGTCCGCCTGGGACATGCGCCGGCCACTTGAGCCAGAACCGGACTTATCGGAGGGTGATCGAGATGGCACGTAACCGCCGTTGCCGTCTCCGTTTAGGCCCAATGGCGGCGGCGCTGGTGCGGACTTGATGACAGGAGGCTCATATGCCTGTTGTCTTGGCGACGGAGACCTGCGAAGGGGGAGACCATTAAGCGGTGCACCACCCCCAACAGCTCCGCCCTGGAAGGCCTCCTCGTCTGGATCATGGGGGTCCATGGCTGGCTGTACGGATTCGTATTGGGCGAAGTACGCATCTTCGGCGGACGCGCTACGCTCGAAGGGTTGGGGTTTTTGAGTGTTGAGGCCGGCGCCCAAGGACGGCGGCGCAGGAGAGCGGCCTTGGCCGGGCGTTTGGGAAGGCGTGGCATCGTATCGGCCCCAGTAGTCATCGTCGTCATCCTCTTCGACCGGTTCAGCTTGGACAGATACTTGCGCAACAGGTTTGGTTTCTGGCACAGAGATTTGTTGGGCCTTGAACGCCTTCTCTGCTTCATCGAGTGTAGCATGACCCTGGAAGGATTCGAGGGGAGATGGATTGCTGGCTACACCGATTTCGCCCACACGCCATCCGTCGCCGCCACCGTCTTTGTCGTTGACGCAGTACACGAGACGAATGAACAGGTCGAACTCTCCCAACACCACGAGGGTCTGAAGTGTCTCGTGGTCAAGTCTCCTGTACTTGATGCGGACGTCGTAATCCCAATCTATCTCCACTTCGCCCGATACCGGATGGGGATCCAGGTTACCGCTTTGGGCGATCTCGGTAAGTCTGGACACCTTTGAAGTGTCATAGGTAAGAAGACGGATCCATGGATCTGAGCTGGCGCCGGAAAGAAGCTGTACTCGCTGTCTAAGAATGGGCGAAAGAAGGGGCAGTACTGTTGTAGCTGGCTCGGTCGACGCAGACGCTCCTGGCAGGGCGGAGAGGACAGGCCTCACGAGGCTCTCAATATCCGGAGAGGTGATACTAGTAGGAGCCATTGCTGCGATGGCCATTGTAGGTATAGTTGTTGTCGTAATGAGATTGTGAAGGCAAGGTTGTAATATGTGTTTGATGCGGGGGCCCAAAGCTTTGCTTGTAGCACTCTCCAAGAGAAGTTGGACAGCCCTGAGGATGACTCTCAGCAAGGGTTCCAACTAGTTGACTTTATAGCGACTGGTCTTGGCAGGCGAACAAAGTGAATCACATGCGATGGTTTGCCCAACACACGTCGATGAACATGCGTACAGTGGAGCGTGGCTGGGATGCTTGTCTTGCAGATGGGCAGGAAGAAATATCTAGCTAGATCTCTATGCACTGCAAGCACTGCGGATGGCAAGGGGTTTGGTGGATGTATGAGGTTGGATGGAGGTTCTGTTGCTGCAGACGGCGTGCAGCGCTTCTGCTCGAGGGGCAAGCAGGTGAAATGGTGAAGATGCAAAGTCGTAACTTGAAAATAAAACTGAAGTAAGAGAAAAGAAAGAACAGCGGAAAGAAGACAGGATGGAAGAGAGAACGAAGGTCTGGGATCCATATAACAGCCTCGGAGGATGAACAAAAGTCCCACCGGTGGGTTCACGGGATTCTGCTACGCTTCGAAGCCCTGTTGCCAGTTCCGTTGCTGCGGGATGATGAAGATGACGGGGTCCATCTCGTGAACTGCAAGAGTTGGGAGCCCTGTGCATTGAGCGCAGGTGGACATTCTCACAACGCTGGGGTGCATCCCGTCGGCAGGTACGTACCTGGAGAACTGGGGCCGGGCAGGCATGGGCAGCTTTAGCCAATTCAAGGAAATACTGGGGTTGACTCCTCATTGGGGTGGTGAGATGGTTGCTGTGGGCGATTGCTGGGTAGCAACCTTCGGGCGGATGGAACCAATTAGCGCCAACCCCGGACATGGCAATGCTACGGTGAACCGTCCTCGACTCCGGACGTGTCCATTTGATTAGCATGTGGATGGAAGAGACGGAATCACCTACCGTACCCCCTTTCCGTGCCACAACCGCTCGACCGACGCCGGTATCATTAACTCCTGCTTGCCCCATATGGATAAAGCTCTCACAGGTACGCCAAACCTAAGGGTTACATCAACTCATGTCGAGGAATCATGTATGCTTTGGTGCCATCCCTTCTATCGGACAGGAATTATCCATAACGACTCGTCTCACAGTTTGTATGCCAGCTCTCGTTCTACCCAACAGAGCAACAGCTTTCAACCAAATTATCACAGACAATACGGGTCACGACAGGACGTTACGTACGTGGCCAGTGCAACGATCTCCAAACCAAGTGACAAAGTGGAAGCCAAGGCTGAGCTGAGCGCGTGGCACCCCTGTTGATCCTCGAGTTGCGAGTCGTGAACAATGTCGTCACTGCTGTCATGACGGCAACGCCTCTTCAAGACGAGAAGGATAAGTAAGACTTCGCCTTGCGAGTTACCGTCATCACCATCAGTTTGCAAAAGCAGTGAGACCACAACACCATGGGCAGATGGGCAAGTGCTTGATGCAACGCCTAAGCACATACATGGAGGCAGTATGTACACTCACAGAACCATTGCGCTGCAGCATCAAACGCCCCATAACATGTTCGGCTCTTCTAGAAAATCCAAGACGCACGTACACGCATTCATTCCCGACACTTCTCAGCCACTTAAGGCGTTGATCGATCAGGGACCAGCGCATGAACCTTGTGCGTTATCAATTCGCCGTCTTATGGTACACTACAAGCCGGTGGTAGACGACTGATCAACGCGGAAAAGATTCAACAAAGCCTTGGCGCGCCTGCCCCATCCAATTAGATCACTGCCCTGGGGCAGTTTTCACTTCAATTGATATCTTTCGCAGTTACATCCCACTTCTGCTTATCATGAATCTCGCTGCAAAAGAACCACAAAGGCTTGACGACCGTCGTCCAAGAAACATACGAAGCACCATCTCCGGAGCTACCAGCGCAAGGCGCACATCACTGCCGTCGATACATCCGAACACCGAAGCCCGCACACACTGAACGCTACCTGCAGTCCGCTAGGTAGCGGTACTAGCTCTACGTCAGCTCGAGCTTGGCCCGCTCTCCCGCACCTCGACAACGACCGGTCGTCGATCACGCATCGCTCAGCCCACGTACACCGGGCGCGCCCACTTCTCCAGTCTCTCCGCTGTATTGCGTGCTGGATGAATGTCTGGCAAGGCCGAACGCCTCAAGGATGAGGGTTCCCGCCTTCAGGTGACAGCCGCCGGCGCAACGGCCGGCTTGATCTCTCGGTACGTCCGTCACGACCCCCTTTCCCTTGAAAGTTGCCTAAGAAAGTCCTTGCCCCAACCAACCTCTGTCACTAACCTGCCCCCGTGCTGCCTCCCAACAGTTTCGTCATCGCCCCCCTCGACGTCGTCAAGATCCGCCTCCAGCTGCAACACCACTCCCTCTCGGACCCGCTCATCCACCAGCGCGGCGCCGAAATCATCGGCGGCGGGCCCGTCTACAAGGGCACCCTCCCTACAATCCGACACATCCTGCGCACCGAAGGTCTCACAGGTCTCTGGAAGGGCAACATCCCCGCCGAGCTTCTCTACGTCTCGTACGCCGCCGTTCAATTCACCACCTACCGCTCCATCACCCAGTTTCTTCAAGCCGCTTTCCCCAAAGACCAAAACAAACAACTGCCCCCATCGGTCGAGTCCTTCATAGCCGGCGCCTCAGCCGGTGGCGTCGCTACGGCAGTTACCTACCCCCTCGATTTACTACGTACCCGCTTCGCCGCGCAAGGCACCGAGCGTGTCTACCCTTCTCTTCTACAAGCGCTCAAAACCATTTACGCCTCTGAAGGCGTCACCGGTTACTTCCGCGGTCTTGGGCCCGGGTTGGCGCAAATCATCCCTTACATGGGCACGTTCTTCTGCGTGTACGAAACCCTTCGGCCCCGGCTCTCCAAGCTCGAGCTGCCCTACAGCTCGGGTAGCGCAGTGGCAGGCGTGTTAGCAAGCGTGATGGCCAAGACAGGCACATTTCCGTTGGATTTGGTGAGGAAGAGGATCCAAGTGCAGGGACCGACGAGGGGAATGTATGTGCATAAGAATATACCGGTTTATGACGGGGGGATGGTGAAGACGGTAGCGACGATTGTGAGGAGAGAGGGGGTGAGGGGACTGTATCGGGGACTGACTGTCAGCTTGTTCAAGGCAGCGCCAGCGAGCGCAGTTACAATGTGGACTTATGAGAGGGCGTTGAAGTTGTATATCAGGCTTGGAGCGGCGGGGCCGGGGCGGAAGGAGGGGGTGTAATTTCAAATCGCAACGACGGTTTTGCGAGTTTTTAGCTGATAGATAAGCGAGGCGCTATAGGTACCTAGATAGACAGCGCGGTGCGTTAGCAAGCACAGGCGCCGAATTCCATTTGTTTTGTTTTGCATGTGTCAAGTTCTCGACGTGAATCCGGAATTTTGGTTGAAAACAATGACAACACAACCCTCATGAAACGGAACTCATTCACGATTACCCAAACAGATCGGATCCGGTCCTGGCAATGCATTTACAGATGATCAAGATATTGACACATATCCAAGACTCGGGCATGTCCTGGAATTGATTGGACGAAGTGTTCGGAATGGGCGGAATCGCTGACTTCTTGAAAACGAAACATGAACAAGAACAAAGTGACCCGCATCAACGTCCGTTGTATCATGGAGCAGGTCACATACAACATGGAAGACATATCATTGGCCTGGCATTCTCCTGTGATCTCATTGAATACCTAGCACTGTCGCCTGGTTTGTGCTCCAAAGTAATGATATCCCAAGCCATAATCGCGATAAAACCTAACGGACAACCTGCCTCCTCTTTGAACCCAGAACCAGTAGTGGTTACCAGCCTCTTTGCCGTACCCTACCCTGCCCAATTTTACGCCATTTTGACCATCCAAAACGCCGACCATGCATACAAGACCACAGCTGCTGTGTAGCCTCTTCCCAACCCCGGAAAGATAGATGGAAAGTCAAGAACAGAGAAGCCAAGTACACTGATGGAAGGAAATAAGGAGACAAGAACCGTTCAGTAATACAGGATGGGTGGGAAATAGTCAACCATAATAGTCGAGTAGGTATAGTGGTTGAAAAAATCCAAACCAGATACATCCACCTTGGTCTATCCAATAATGAAAAAAGGAGAAAAGATTAGAATGCAAACAAGTGACTGAGGCGACCGTCGTCCTCTTAGCTCATAGGCAGCCACTTGTTGTTCTCAGTATTTGGCCAGTTGGCGCTTCGGCAGGGTCTTTACCCAAAGCTGTCAATCAGACATTCTCACGAGAGGAGAACACGGCCCTCTGTTGCTGAAACTGACACTTTTTTTCTGCTCATGATGCAGGCAACTTCTTCCGCACAACCTCCATTGGTGCTTGGCGGCACTGATCTCCCACACCAGCCTTGATACAGGGCGGACATGGCTTTTCGATAGTACCTATCGTGTGTTGTATCCTTGTGCATCGTTGACATCCTGTGCTTCGGGAGATTCGCCGCTTTAGTTCTGGGCGACACTAATCTCCTACTCCGGCCTTGACACAGGACGGGCGGGGCTTCTCGATGGTATATACAAAGCTGCTGATTCCTTTGCATCGCTGGCATGTTATACCATATGGTAAAATAGATGGGGTGGACGACAGTGATCCGCCAGGCCAGCCTTGATGCATTGCATTCATCGCACGGCGTTATGAATCCCATGCACTTGATCGTACGTTCCTTGCATCGCTGACGCCTTTGTATGCCGGAAAGTTTTGTTGCAGGACGAAGTTCGTCCCGTTGTTTGTCCTCTGACTCGTCTTCGCGTTTGTTTTCGTGTTGGTCTCGTACCTGGGTTTTACGTCCGTTTTGTTGCTCGTGCTCTTCTTTCTCATCAGGCCCGGCCGAAGTGCTGACCTGCTTGTGTTCTTCCTCATCAAATCCGAACAGTATGTTGAATTGATCATGTTCTTTCTCATCAGGTCCAGCCGATGTACCGAGTTGCTCACTCCTCGTCAGCCTCTTCGTCGTCCCAGGACTCTTTCTCCCGCTTGATAAGTTCAGCCATTGTTTCTCGTGGAAAAATCGTGCTCCCTTCTTCATTTACCCTAGGAACCTTCATGAGTTTGGAGCCCCTAATCCTCCTCGCCGCTGGACTCATATCTTCCGAAGGGGGCACGTCATCCTCAAAAAGCGGCCCCATGTTTTCGATCCACCTCCGCCTACGCTCCATGAGCGTGCGCGTGAGGTCTCCAATGCCTGGCCTCGCCATGCCTGCCGCACCGCCTGGGCCGGGCGTCCCGGACCCGCCATTCGCGTTGGCGCCATCCTTTGCGGCGCCTGGCCGGGCTTTCTTCGGTTTCTTGCCCATTGTACGGGTCCGTTTGAGGTAGGCTGCTTGCACTTGGCTGTCAAGGTCTTCAAGAATGGTCTGATATTCTTGAAACGCCATGCGCTCTTTGACAAGCTCAGTGAGACGCGCTTTGCGGGCACCGTTAAGAAGAACCTGCTCGTGCAGACGGGATTGGAGAAGACGTAATCGGGCGGCAACTTCATCATCATAATGACCATCGAAATCGGCAGCTGTGGGACCAGGGTCACCGCCGGAGGGATGCGAGGCAGATGAGCCGCTCGTGGAAGACGTGTTGTTATTACCTGTATTCGATGATGAGACGTTGTTGGCTGTGGAAGAGGTCCCGTTGGTTTGGTCGGGCGGGAAAGGTAGGAAGCCAATATGTCGTAGCTCTTGTTTGAGACGTTCGTCGACTTGGGAATAATCGAGTTTAGGATGCGAGGCTTTCTTCCATGATTCGCTGTTGGACTCGGGCATGAAAGTCGCAGGCGGGAGCTGGTTTGAGGCGGACTGTCCAGTTGTGCCATTGATTCCATTCACCGTGGGCGATGCTGTCTGTGGTTGAGTGTCCCCGAAATCAAAGCGATCGACGCCGTTCATAGTAACATCCCCGTCAGCAGTGGCGCCGTTTTGTCTCTCATCCGCAGGCGGTGCGCGGTGCTCGGGCCGCATCGTCTGCAATAGCCGTGCTAGAATGGGCCCAACCGAGAGCTTGTCTGTCTCGGCAATTTCGTCGTTCATGTTCTCTATGTTACCGCGAGGCTGGTTGGGGGGCAGTCTGTCCTTGACATCTGCCGAATCAATGGCCATGGCGCCGTCCTCCTCGGCCCATATTTCTGTGTAATGTTTCTTCCCGCGCTTCGGCATAACAAAGGGCGTGACTCGATCGCCACGCTCTCTAAGGAAGGCGAGATCTTCTTCTGTGAACGGTCGGAAAAACGGTTCGACATAAGTGCTGAAAGTAGAAAAGTTGATTTGATTACTAGGTTTCGCATTGCTGAAGTCTTTATCGGGGGGGTCGCCGGCTATTATGTCGGCCAGGTCGCTCTTTGGATACACTGCAACTGAATAGATCTCCTTGATTTCGTCTTCTGTCATGCCCGGCTTCACCGGTAGGATTTCGTAGACGGTCGGATCGGGGAAGGTAGATGGGTCATCGCCAAAAGTGTTGGCCTGTGGTCGTGCAGGCGGCGGAGGCTGGCCATCGTCATCGGAGTCGTCGTCGTCGTCGTCGTCATTTTCCTCGGTCTTTGTCTTCTCGTCGGCCTCCATGGCAGAGGGCGTCCTGGGGGCGACTGGCGAGAGAGAGGAGCTGGCAGAGTCATCGCGGGAGAGCTTCCTGGCTTTGTTTCCGGACTCGCGAACTGGGGAAGAATATTCTGCGGAGAAGAGAGGGGAGTCAGGACCATGCTTTGTATTGCCAAAGCAGGCAGATAATTTCAATTGGGAGGGGGGATGCACGGTGGTTAAGGTGTAGGTAGTGGTAACGGACCTATGCTATTTCCCTGGGGCGGGGCCAGGTTCTCGGTGGCCTTCCGCTTCTTCTTGTTGGCTTTGCGCTCGGCACGCTCCTCCTCGTCGGCTTCCTTCTGGCGGCGTTCCTCCTCGCGGCCGCGCTCGGCAGCCAGCTCGCTCTCGCGGAGGCGGCGGGACTGGGCGAGCAGACGCATGCCTTTGTCACAGTTGGTGCCCCGCTTGTCAATGACCTCGCTAAGACGTGACAGGCGGGACAGGAGGCCATCGAGGCTCTTGGAGTCGGGCGATGCGGTGTTGTTGGCGACGTGGTCGACAAGGTCGTCGTACGTGATGTTGCGGAAGAGGTCGAAGCGCACGTCCAGGGTAGCCGTCTCGTGCTGCTCAATGGGGGGCAGGCTGGCGACCTGGGGAGAGCCGGCGCTGGGCGTGGTGTTGCGACTGCGCGGGTGCTGGTGCTGGCGCATGACACCCGCTCCACCCTTCTTCCCCGTGCCCTTCTGGCTGCCTTTTTGGCCCGAGGGCGGCGGCATTGTTGCTGCGTAATCGGCAACCCCGCGCGCGCTCCTGGCTTTTTTTGCTGGCCGCTGGCTGCTGCGCACCTTACTACGGGTGATCCTGGCGCGGCGACTTCCGGCCCGTGTGCTGTCGGGGGTTCCAGGTATCTGTTGGGATTTTAGGGAGTTCCGTGGAAGAGGATCCGGACTCGGGGGGTCTTGGGGGGGGGCTGGCTGCTCTGGGTCCTCGGTAGGTAACGGCGATGTCGATATGGCGTCTGTCTGTCTAATAAGGGGTATCAGGACCCGGGAAGGCTGCCGCGTCCACGGCGTGCTTGAGGGATGCTCGTCGCGGTCTGCGTCGCTCGCTGAAAGGCGGTCGATGCTGGTCGATACACAATCCAATGACGGCACAATAACTGATGGCACATCCCTGTCGACCCTGACTGTCGCTCGCGGGGAGTGAAGAATCGTGTGGGAATCAGGCAATGATGGGGCTGGGCCAGAGCGCTGGGCGGGCCTTTTTCAACTTCCACTTGCTCTGTAGCGTTCTGCGTTGTAAGTGTACGTAAGTAGGTAAGTAAGTTACGTAGCAGAGGTACACTTCAAGTTGCAAGTGGAATTGGGGTTCCAAAGCTGCCCTTGCCCTGGGCCTCGCAATGCTATTTCCGTGTTTGAGTTTGTGTGACTGATGTGCCCGTGTCGCGCCTGTGAATTCCTCGCGTTGCCGTTACTCAACAGACAACCTGTGCCACACTTGTCAGCACTTTCCTGTAGAGGTCAGGAGGACACTTAGGTTTTGGTTCGACTCGCTTTAACATGGGCGGTCTCAGGAGGCAGGGCAGCTCTGTAGTCCAGTGTACAAACTAACTGCCATAGTACCTGCCTACCTACCTCCCCGGGCTGTCAGCTGCCAGTACTTACCTACTGTGGTATGTAGCACGATACGGGCAGGTCTTGGCGGATAGAGAACAAATGGTCTGTGCTCCCACTGCACTTTATGGACGCTCGGATTCCCAAAGCGCGCGGGTCACCTCTTTCCAAGTCCTCCACCGAGTTGGGCAGTCGTCTCCTTGGCGTGTACAGTTCCAGCAAGCAACGGGCAACTCGACCAATTGATGAATACCCGTCACCTTAGTTCTGTTGTCCAACATATCTTAACATCAAGGTTGCTTTCTTTTCCCGTCACTCATTTGGTAACATCGCAACACTGATACCAACACCATGTTGTTCTTCAGGTAATCTAACATTCTCATCCAACCCAAGAGAAGCATTCGTGTTCGTTCATCACATCAAGTCATCATTCCCTAGTGGGATCAAGTCCACGCTATGTTGTGATGCTGCTTTGAAGCCGAGCATGACGAGGTCTGCGACGCATATCAGGAGTTGCTTCACATACCTAGACCAAGCCCTGCCTGAGTTGACACATGATGACTTTTCAACATACCATACTGTTTACCAACATTGCTCATCAATCCCTGCATCCCCTTATGAATACGAACCAGCGCATCGACACCACACCACATCTTCCCACCCCCCCTCTTCCCTTTCAAGCACCCACCGCAACATCTAGTCAAACAAATACAGACTGACACTTTACGCAAAAAGCTTCTTCAAAACCCTCATCGACCACGAGGTCACGGTCGAGCTCAAGAACGACATCCAGATCCGGGGCGTGCTCAAGAGCGTCGACCAGTTCCTCAACATCAAGCTCGACAACATCCAAGTCGTCGAAGAGCTCAAGTATCCGCACCTGAGCGCGGTCAAGAACGTGTTTATCCGCGGGTCTGTGGTCCGTTACGTTCACCTGCCCCAGGAGAGCGTGGATATTCAGTTGTTAGAGGATGCCACGAGAAGAGGTATGTTTTGTGTGTTGAGTGAGAAGGGGCTTGTGGTGGCTGCATGAAAGGGTTAAATGGGTTGGATTCATACTAACGCCGTGTTGCAGAGGCGGCCAACCAGGCGACTAAAGCTAAGCAGGGTTGAATGTGAGAGGAGAGGAGGAGGCGGAAATCATTCGCTCTAGAACCACTTCACGGAACGCACACCTTAACTTTCGACTCGTTATTGTCACTACCAACGTTGTTTATGAACTGATGCAATTGACGAAGCTGGAAGGAAACGCGCTCGAGAATCAAGGGTAAACGAAGAGGGCCAGAGACCATGATGGGATGGTACGGGAGAAGACAAGCAGGCAGGGCATCAAGGGTGTCACATAGGCGGATACCAGATGAGGAATGAACACGGCCGAGTTGAACCGAGAAATAGGCAAGGGCGGTATTCTCCATGTGTGAGTGGAAACGCAAACACAACGGCCGGATAGAGTCAGAAAAATTTACAAACAGCCAACCAACCGCACTCCCCCCTTTCCCAACCCTTCCGCACACCACCATACAAACCACCGCACAGATTACCAATAAACCTCCCCACCACTCCCATCCTTCCCATCCCAAAACTTCTGCCCTTTTGTACCTTCCACTTTCTCTCCCTTTCCCCCTTCCTGCTCATGCAAAACCCTCACCAACCCCCCTCTCCTCCTTTCCCCCACCCACCGATCAATCCACCCCTTCATTCTCGCTCTACTCGCCTCGCTCCCCACATTCACCGTCGGCACCACCTTCTCCACCCTCAACGCCATCAAAAAGAGTGCCAGCTCCCTGAACGAGCTGTGCTCGCTATAGGGAACCCCAAAGCACATGGCCTCCCTCCCACTCCCGCGCTGGGGGACCACGTTCTGTGCAAAGAAGCGGGGGCGAAACCGGTTACCGTGGAGGAGGTGCGTGGTTGGCAGCGACGAGGGAGGGAGTGTGGCGGTGACGGGGACGGAGGCGGGGGGTCCTGTGTCGATGTCGGGCGGTAACTGTATTTCGTGGCTGTTGTTATTGTTATTGGACCCGGAACCGGGCCGGTAACTCCACCCCGAGGGACGAAACCCGACAATGCGACTGAACCCGTTGGACCGGTGCAACTCGAGGTACTCAGCCAGCGTGTCGGCGCGGATCTCGCCGAGGGCTTGCATGTGCACTTGGGCCTCACGAGGGTCCGCGGTCATCAGGCTGGAGAGCTCGGGGTCGTCGAGCTGTTTGGTGATGCGGATCTTGGAAGGGGAAGCGAAGATTTTGGAGCGAAGGGCTTGCGCGATGGCGACGCAGATGCGCTCTTTACCGATGGAGTAGGTGCCGCAGACTACGAGGAGGCGGTTTTTGCGGATAGTAGAAGAAGAGGTGAGAGCGGTGAAGGCATTGGGAGGGGGTTTGGTTTCTGCTTGTTGTTCCTCCTCGGGCGGTGTTGGGTTTGATGTGATGCCACCATCCCCCTTCCTCTTGCTGTTGTATCCAAAGAACTGAGTGACATCTTGCCCCTCCTTTGCATTACCGCCACTTTCTCTCATCCTCAATAGCCGCTCCCATTCGGCTTCATTCCCCTCCTTCAACCCCCTATCAAGTTTTGCGCACACCTCGGCACACGCCTGAATCACATCCTCCTGGGGTGGGAACGAATACCGCGGATTTAGATACGTCGTGTCAAGGTAACAAACGTCAATCTTCTGCTGTTTTGTCTTCCCCGTCACCTTATCAACCGTCTCCGGCTTCAATAACGGATGTTCCACATGCGCTGGACACGCCCTGAAATCGCCACAGTGCAAAATCCTCTGTATCCTTCCCTCCTTGCCAACTTTCTTCTCGAACAAAAACAGCGAGCTCCCCGGACAATGATTTGCCTCAATCATAGTGACCATCACAGCACCGCCCGTCTCGGGCACCGGCACGGTCTCCCCAAACTCCAGCTCGACGACGTACTTGGCCGCTGTCCGCAATTGCATCTTTACCAGCGACCCGGTCACTTTGCTGCAGTAGATAGGTCCATGTACCCAGCTGGCTGAGAGGCCCATGTAGTGGTCGCTGTGGAAGTGGCTAAGGAAATAGGCCTTGCAGCCTTGGACGGCGCCGTAACGGAAAGCGTCAACACATATTGAGAAGTTGGGCATGATTTTGTAGAAGGGGCAGGTTCGTTTGTAAGCGGGCATTCCCCGAGAGGCAGACTCGGCGGCAGCGGCAGTGGCCCAGGCGGTCGATTCGGCGTGGGAGGACATTAGTTTGCTGAAGGCTGAGCTGCCAGTTCCTTTAAGTTTCACATCGGGGCCAGGGTTATGATCGTCGTTGTCGCCAGGGAGCGTAAAGGGGTTTGCTTGTCCTGGGCGGGCGACGGCGGCGCGAGAAGCGAAGCGTTTGCTACCTTCTGTGAGACCCGCCATTATATTATCCACCAAACTTGCGCTCTCCTGAACTTCCTCCTTAACATTGGGTACTCGTTGCCCTGCGGCTGTCTGATTTGGAGGAGGAAATGGCGAGGGGTTCCCATCAAGACAAGCGTTGACGTGCGCGGTGGCCTGGTCGCTTGTTACGCCGGCGAGACTTGCGTTGCAAATGGGGCAGCTTTCTGTAATGGCATCCGGGTTCGCCGGGGGAAATGTTAGATCATCATCGTCCTCAATCTCATCGATAAATCCGGCATCGTCCAACATCAGTTCGCCATAATCATCATCCTCTCCGATGAAACCTCGTCGCTCTTCTGCTTCAAGCCTGGCTTGCTCCTGCACGTACCGCTTCTCTCTCAGTTCCTCGCCTTGAAGGTCGTTGTAGTGGTTTTCCTTGTCTTCTTGTGGGTCCTCGTCGATTTGATCTGCACCGTCTTTTGCCGGTTCGTCTTCTTGTTTGGTTTTGGTGTCCGCTCTAGCACCGGATGTCTCTTGTTGTAAAAGAGGAACAATAGGCTTCTTCGTAACTTTTTTCAACGTCTCGACTTCCGTCTTGTCGATTAAGTCATCCCTTTTCTCCCTTCCCTCGTAGTCTGATAAACCCGCGGACTTGACAGGAGCAGCGCTCTCATCCACCGCCTCCGCCTCATCCTCATCCTCACCCTCCTCGTCCGAATCGTCCAAGAATGGACCTCTCCTCGGATTCCTAACCGACTTTGCGCTTTGCGCGCCGCTGCTATGCGGTACCGCCTGCATTTCTCCCTTCATTTCTTCACTCTGCAGTTTCACCTCCTCTTGCTCCGTCTCCTTCTTCACTTCAACTGCATCCGCCTTCACTCTCTTTCCCTTCGTCTCCTCCTCCGAACCATCAGAAGTGAGACTTCTCTTCTTAGTCGACCCCCGAACATCATTGAACTGCTTCTCGTCCTCTTCTGCCTCCTTCGAATCAACACCGCCACCTTCAACTTCTGCCTCAAACCCACCCTCACCCTCACCCTCACCTTCAACCCCAACCCCATCAACCCCTTCCAAATCCTCAGCCGTCACCCCACCCTCACCGATGAAAAGGGTCTCATCCGCCGCCTTCTTGAAGTAATTTAGAATACTCGCATTCGGCTTCGGTTTCGGCTTCGAAGAGGTGGGCGTCTTGGTGATATACCCTTTATTTCGGGCAGACTTGACGGGAGTTTTGGAGGAAGAGCTGGTCAGTTTCCCGGCGGCGGAGGATGACGATGATGATTTTGGTAGCATGATTCCAGCTTCCTAGTGTAAAAATCGATGCCGCGCTTTTTGTTGTATTGATTTGGTGGTGAGGTGATTGGAGATTGCGCGCCGTTGCTATAACTGAATCGAAAGGGGATGTTGGTGATTAAGATCGATGCTAGAGATGATGCCGATGGAATGAGGAGATGGGACAGGTTGACTGAGCCGGAGTTGTGGGTTAGTATTCAGTCGCAGTGGCGAAGACATGCATGATGGATCTGCAAGCGGGCAACAAACGGGTAGCAAACGGGTCCGGTAAAGAACGCGAGGGGCAAATCTGCGTTTGTAGGGAAGCAACAAACGCCAAAATGCGTCGCGAAGTCACGTGAGACTAGAGTGGCCCTTCAACACAGAATCGCCAGAATCAAGACAATTGAATTGACGCGCGAGCGATCAACTATACTTTCAAACTCTGTCGACTTCGGAGTTCTTTGTCTATGGGTATTTTTCCGCCATCATAAGCCGCTGCATAGTATCTAAACCATGTACGCTACACGAGCCACGCCCTTGTCTCCATTCAGTCTTGTCAACGCAGACCACCTTTTTGTTTCTCGAGACGGCATATGAAAGTCCTGCCAAGAGTGACATTCTCGTTCATGAACGCCTTCGAAAGAAACCAACCATACATCTCAAAACACAAGTAGCAAAAAACGCTCTTTAACTGAATAATGAAACTGCTTTTATTCTCCGCTTCCCATCGGTCCAGAGGAGAGCATTTCGCACTTGCTCAGATCCCCAAATCCCCATAACCCTCCCACACATTTTGCATCATAGAGGCTTTCGGACCCTCTTCAGCAACGGCCTCCTATTCCAATGTCTCATTCTACACGTCCAAAGGTATTTCATTCCTCGGCTTCCTCACCATCCTCCTCGACCTGGTCCAACTCCTCAGCCTCCTCGTCGAGGCTGCCGGCGGGGACCTCGTACAGGCGAAGAATGTTCTTGTTGGGATCCTTGACGAGGACGAACTTGGCGTCCTCAGACTCGGACTTAAGGCACATGTCGGCAATGGTGCGGACAATACCCCAGCCGTTGGAGAGCTGGAGGTTCATCTGATTGGCGAAGTCCTTGGGCTTCCAGCCAACGACGCCGAGAATAACGTGCTTGTCGTTGACCTTGGGGTTGACGCGGGAGACGAAACTATCGGGGAAAAAGAAAAAGTGGTTAGTATTGAGTATTGATCAACATAGGGTGCAAAACTTACCCAAGCTTCATGACGTCGGCCTTGGCGAGAATGGACTGGACGGTCCACCTGGCGAGCTTGCAGCTGTTGTTCTTCATCTCAGTAGCGACAACGGCACCACGCTGGGAAGCGAGCTTGGTCCTCCAGTCGAGAGCACCGCCGGCTCCCTGGGCCTTGCTATCCCATTCGTTGAGGGCGTGCACGGTAACGAGCTGGTTCTTGCCGTCGGTGGCATTCTTCTGAACAGCGTCGATCTCAGTACGAACAACCAAGAAGGTGGACTCCTCCTCGCTGGTGGAGAGGTCAAAGCGGCGGTACTTATAAGCCTTGGAGGCAGGGGGGACGTTCTCCTCGGAGGCGTTGTAGAAGGGGTTCTCGTGGGCCATGTTGACCTTCTCGGCCTCGTTCTCGACGACAACCTGGTTGGCGAAGTTGTGGTTGATGAAGGTGGCCTCCTCAGCAAGGGCGTGGGGCTGGTTGATGCCATCCTTGGAACCCTCGGAAGCGTCGAGCGGAGCGTCGGCGGCGTTCTCGTTGACGGTGACAAGGTCGAGAGCGGCGTTGTCGCGCTTGTCGAAGAAGATCTTGTTGCCCTGGCGGGAAATGACGATATCCCAAGGAGCGACAGAGCGGGGAGCGCACATAAGCATGGAAAGGATGTTGTCGGTGGCGAAGATGGTGGCTTCGTCCTTCTCGGCGAGCTCCTGAATGACGGGGTCGGAAGAGGTGGTGACGTTGTAGGCAGCACGGTCGATGGCAGCGAGCCTGCGCTCGGCGTTCTTGACCACGGGCTTGTCGTAGGAGCGGTCGTAGGCGTAGAGGAAACCGTAGTCATCGACATCCTCACCCTCGTCGGTCTCGAGGTTGAGCTTGCTGAGACGGTTGTAGTCAATCTCCTCAATCAGCTTCCAGTCACCCTTGATGTTGATCGAAGCATCACGGTTGCGCTGGGGCTTGTCATAATCCTTCCAGCCGAAGCGGCGACCGCGAGCACCAGTGTTCTGGCGGCCACCGCGGCCACCGTCGTAGCCACCACCGTACTGCTGACCTCCGCGACCTGTCCTCTGGAAGGTCTGACGGCCACCACCCCTGCCAGCCTGGGCGCCAGCACCGCCGCGTTGGCCACGGCCTCTAGTAAAGACAGCACCACGACCGAAGCGGGTCTTGCCAGTATCCTTGACGTTGGAGACAACGGAGAAGGAAGACTCGTCCTCGGCGACGGGGGGCGCAAAGATGGAGGTGGAACCGGCACCGTAGATCTGCTGGTCTGAAGTGGGAAGTTAGTAAACATCATCACTCTCATCCAGACCTCAAAAGGGTCATGAAGAGGACAGAGGCCGGGTAGGATAACGCACCACGGAAGTTCCTGTTGTACTGCTGGCGACCGCCACGGCCGTCGCGGCCATCCTTGGAATCGGCAGTCCAGTCGGCCATGCGGCCGAGCTTGTCGCCCTTGGAGTAGGGGGCGTAGGGGACGCCATTGAGAGTGGTCTCGGTGGTGATGGCGGGGCCCCAAGTGGCACCCAGGTCGGGGAGGGAGTCGATGAGGTCGACGAGGCCCGAAAGGCCAGGAGTAGGGTTCGTCATGATTTGGCTGTCGTATGTGGGCGACGAAACGATATCGGAATAATATCGATAGTCGGGACCTGGCGCAAGTTGGCAAAGACAAAAATAAAAAGAGGACCCAGGACAGGACTCGGAGGGGTTGCTTCGAATTCGCCGGGGCTGTGTCGCTGTGGGATTCTGCTGTCCGGGCCGTGCAGCAAATTGCCCCAAAACTCAGAAATTCGCAGGGTGGGGTAATTGTGTGGTGTGGGGCTCTCCGTAGCTCCTTACCTCTACCGTGGCGGGCATGGAGGTTCACCGACGAGCAACTGACCAATCAGTATTATGGATTTCAGGTGAGTAGGTAGGTTCACCGTCTTCACCCTAGCAAGCCCAATGCTCATGTTGTCACCATTTCCGGCACACCTTTCTTTGACATCTTTTGTTGACCTTTGCTCAGTGTTGCTAGTATTATTCTGACATTTCTCTTTTGAGAGGGCTTGGATTTCATCATGCCCCGAATGGCAGTTTGAGGCCGGTTCAGTGACAATTGATTTTCCACTGCAGCTTGTCTAAACAAGGGTAACATGAATGTCTACAAAAAGATACCTGCCAAGGCCTCTCTCATCAGTTGTTCAGCCAGCTATTATAGGCGACTGGACCAGCTCCGTCCTCTCAAAAATCCTCAAACACTCTTCCATCCGGCTTTGTCGAAAACAGATTCTCCAACGCATCCCTAACTTCAAACTCTTCCATCACAGCGCCAAACCTACAACCACGCCAAAGAAAGAAATTAGCAATCCATTACTTCACTTTGACACAGGCAAAGGAAAGCATTTTCGGCAACTGAGGGAGAAACAAAGGCAAAACCTACCCGTAACACCGAACCTTGCTCCCCAACTCCTCTGTCAACCGCGCAAAGTCCTCCAGTTGCAACTCGGCAAGCCGCGGATGAGCGAGGACCATCCCCCAAGCCATGACAGGAGTGATCTCCCCGTCGAGATCTAGCCGCTTGCTTAAGTCGAGCAGCGTAGCCAGGTCGGCTTTGCTGAGTTCCCATGTGCGCTGACCACCACCGCTAATGCTAGTAGGCATCGGGGGGTGACCGTGACCGTGACCGTGAATGGTGTTGGTGTGCCCGAAAGGGCTCTCTGGCGATAGCTCGGAGAAGGGCTCGGGTGGACAGGAAGCCATGAGCGCGTGGCCGCAGGGCTCTCGCTGCGCTCTGTCTTCGGTGCCGGTTCCTCGTTCTAGGAGCCATGTCATGTGTTCCATGCATGGGCGCTCGAGTCTAAAAAAAGGTAGAACCAAGGGGCACTTGTTAGTTGCTTTTGTTCCCTTCCCTTCTTGTCTCGTGTATCAGAAAGTTGTCGAACCCTCCAGCATTGAAGACGAGCAACATGGATCTCCGTTTCTCCCTTGTTTCTGCCGACTGGGGTTCGAAGGAGGTGGGAACTCGTACGTTAACACAAAGTCAATACCGGCTTGATCATAATCCAAATCTGGGTCCCTCTTTGATACCAGAACACCTGCGCCATCTCCTAAAACGGTGTTGAAATCTCTCGGTCCCCCGAGGGGTGGACGGTAAACCGGCGAGGTCGTCGTCGTAGATGAAGGTGGTGATGGGAAGGTGGTTTGGCTGGATAACCCCCCCGGTAGATAGCTTTCGCTTCCCAGCATGCTAGAGCTGGAAGTGTATCCAGGGCTCGGCCCGCTTGGACTGCTAACCATTTGGTCAAAGAAGTTTGTGTCGGCAGCAATTGGATCGCCGGCCGCGTCGTTCTGGGCTAGCTTAGCTTTCAGCCGCCGGTTCTCTTCGGCGAGACGCTCCTTGTCTTGTGAGATGGTCCCGAAGATCTCCTTGAGACGCAGAACTTCATCTTCAAGGGCTTTGATGTATAGCTCTTTTCGTTCGCGGTGTGTTCTTCATAGGTGGTCAGCAGGCATGGAGGCGTTGATGAACATTTGGAGAAGCATACCGTTGTGCCTGCCTGTTCAGCTCTTGGCGTCGTGTGAGTGCTGGCTTGCTGTCCGGCTTGGGGCCACGTCGTTTAGGTGGTTGACCATCTATATACCCAAAACGATCAGCCCGGTCTGTATCCACCAACAGCGACCATATTGATCACTGCCACCCACCTCTCGTTTTCTTGTCTGAGAGACTCTTGAGAATTGTGAGATTCAGAGTGGATAACGGGTTACTGTCCGGACCAGAGTGGGGATCCTCAGCATAAGTTGCGAGTGGTTGGAGAGGCAGTGAAGAAGTCATGGTGGCAGGGTGGAGATACGGCGACAAGTTCGAACGGGATAATGTTCAATGTGCCTGAATGATTGCGGTTGGCGGGAACGCGGCTTTCGTCAAACCAAAATCAGCAAATAATTCTTGACAAACCCTTCAGATTTCCATGCAGAACCGAGCGGTTGCTTTCTGGGAGATAAGATTGGGTCGTTTAGGATAACAACAGCCCTTGCATTGTGCGAGACAATCATCTAAGCCTGGGGAAAGCGGATCATAGGTGAGAACGCAATCTTGAAGCTCGAAGCGCTAGGCGGCGAAGGCGGCCCGGAGATGTTTGTATAACGCATGATATCTTAAGGAATGATACGAATCATCTCACCTGAAAAGCAGCTCTCCTTGACGGACCTCGAATACGCGCGAGGTGGATAACTCCAGGAAATCGGGACTCGAGGGAGAACAATAAAGTTGCAGATCTCCCTTTGTATGGCTACCTTGTTATCGGCGTGGATTTGGAATTGAGGAGAGCAAGTTGTCTCCAAGGTGCTAAAAACAGGGTCTCGGTCGAGGCTTCGTGGCTTGAATCGCAGTTTCGTTGAAGAGGTTGAGGATGTAAGTGGTCCCAGAATTGAGGGCGGGTAACGTAACGTGGGCAAGGGTCAAAGCGGCTTCCCGGTGACGCTTCTTTGGTGGTCGTTGAGCGAAGAAAGGTCCGATTCCCACCGACGAGAGAAGATGAGGAGGAAGAAGTTCTCTGCAGTGAGTTCAGGTGAGGAAAGTTCCATTGTCGCCGTTTACGCTTTCGAAATGGAAACATGGGGGCCGAGTATCTCACCATTATTAACTTGACATTTCAAGTTAGGCTGCGGCGTCACACATATCAGCAAGCGCGTAAGACTGACAGCCTACGCCACGACACTATTCCGCATTCGGGATTCCGAGCAACCGAAAGGTAACCAAGCACTAAGCAACGGGGTTTCCCGATAGCGATAATGAGATTAGAAGAGATGATAGTGAGCCGAGACGCAGGTCAACAGTGTGTAATCTGTTATGGTGGATAGGACGTGTGTAGATCTTGCCAACACTCCGGATTGGCCGACGAACCCTTTGAAATGTCTAAACCATTTGGGCCGAAAAGTGACTGCAAACATGAAGCTTTTGCTTGGCCATAGTCGCTGAAGCTGTATGTTTTTACACGACAGCCAGTTGCCCACTGTAGCTGAGGCTTCAGCCCACCTGGGTCGTTCTGTGGCAACGTGAAGTTGTGCAGTGATGACCTATGAACGCTACCGGCTAACTTCCCCGGTTTGCCCTGATCGTCAATCATGTCGAGGTGACATGGCGTGCTTGGCGAGCCCCCACTGTGTCGATGCCCCTGAATGGCCCATCAGCACCAACTAACACTGGCTAGGTGGCCTAGAACGTTGGCATTGGTAGCTGTGGACAGAACCCCTGCCCCTGTGCCCCCGGACTCTTTAAAAAGATTGACAAGCCCGCTTGGGTTGTGCTTTTCCTACTTTTGACAAGTCTGCTTGACTCTGGCAATCACCTCCGGGATGGGCCGGGCCTGTTCTCATTTTCAACACTGCCATGGGGAATGAGCGCAATGTACGAGTTTCCAAGGCGCAAATGCCGACATCCAAGTTGTATTCGCGGCTTTGGGGCGACGTGAAGTGAGGCGAGCAGCAAAGCCGGCTGGGACCGGCGCAAGTGCAATGACGGGACGGGACGAACCACAGCACGTTCGAGACATCTCAACTGGACGTCGGGAGACCTCTAATCGATTTCGATTTGGAGCTATATGCCTCGTTTTGTGCGTATTCATATTGGAATGTCAGTCATGTGTCGAAAAGCAGTGTGGCTCAGCTCCTACCTTCGTGTCTTCTTGGGCACCCAGTCGATCAAAGTTCTAAATTGGTTGGGACAGTTGCGAAGTAGTGACTAGCGACCCGTGGAATACGCAGCATGCAGAGAAGAAGATCACGCACTGAAGAGAATGGAGTGTGACTGGAACGCTAGGCTCGAGGAAAAGTTCGGACTTCAGTTATGTTGGTGGCTGCCTAGCGACTGCCATCTGTGTCTTCTTGGACACAGTAAAACTGCGTTACTGCGCTTGTAATTCCGTTTGCGAAGATGCGACGTATCTCAGCTTCCTTCCTTGAAAGGCACAACTTCAAGTTCATCGCATCTTCCTTGATCTACTTCAACCAGCTTCGGTTTACAACCTCATGCCCAACGCTTTGAGGTTGTCTCGCCGGAGTATTTCTCTGGACGAGTCAACCGAGTCACTTTCGTTGTAGCTCGAGGAGAGCATGACCGATATTGGAGACTCATTTTCTCTGATCTCACACAACTGGATACGGATCTCAACAGTACCTCTGGTCAAGTTTCCTGAAATGTTGAGTTCCTATCGCCGACTCGTGCGTATGTTGCTGAAGCAACCTCTTCCTGTTCACGTCAAACCAGATTGGACTATAAACTTCAACCAATTTAGACGTGCCATTCAGTCACATAAGAATGATAGGTGTCAAGTGTTGTCAAAAAGGGGAATACTAGGTCAGTCTTCCTCTCGATCAGCTGAATCTTGTTTGAAGCTGCGACAGACTGTCACGTTGTCATAGTCTTGGTCAAGTGCCCTCATTTCTCAACACCTTTTCAACATTCGCAGTAGAGAAGGGGATCAGATTTCACCGAATACTATTGATGTCGTGTAAGCTGGTATTACCGGAGGCAACTCCTGGGTTCTACCTGTCAGGACTACACTACACCCGATGAGTGTCTGCCGGATGTCTGACCGGGATGTGTATGGCATCGTCATGTTTATGACAACCATTTCTCAACCTGGGTTTCTCTTCCTATTACAGTCCACTAGCCCTTCTAGCATACTATTTGGCCAGATCGATGGCCAGTACACTAGACAAACAAACGAGGACTGTGTTCATTCTTGGTCATGATCATCAAGTGCCCACTCATGTATGTCAGTGACCTCCCCATCAAGCCCATCAAAACTCTTCTTCGGGAAGGGCTTTATCCATGAATGCGGGGAAGTAGAGAGACTGTCAATATGAAACCCGTCTACTAATGCGTGGAGGGTAGATCGCATTGGGTCGATCTGCCACCAACGTGGGTCTTGATTCGAGTTCGTGCACGACCATTTACTTCCAGTTTTTGTGGATCAAGTAATCCTGTCCGAAGGCAGAAAAGTGTCTTTTCCAGCCTCTGTTTTCTTGCATCCAAAGACATCGTGACATACTTCGGTCATTAATTGGTTCTGATTGGCTGATCGAAGCAAAATCGTCGAGGGTTCCTCAATGGCTTCGAATATATAGAGATCAAGGTATGTCAATAATAATTCTAGACTGGAACAAGGACGGAGATTAAGTCGGTTACCTAGTAACATAACGGCTCTAACGAACCACTCCCTCCAAAATTTAGGGTCCATCTCGGATTGTCACTTCCTTACTGACTGTTTACGCTGTTTTGTAAACCATATTGTCGCGGGAGTGGCCTATGGTAGTTCGTGTATGGTTTGAAGATCAAAAACAGGTATCGCCCCAATGGTTACTATGTAGACAGGCATTGTTGTGGCGTCCATTCATTCAGTATGGCATGTTTGATACCACAAATCCAAGCCCCCTCCTTGCCCATGATGTAGTGAGAGTGGGACGTCTGTGCAATTCTAGTGGTCCCATCCTGAGATGGAAAACGTACGGTGTGCTTGAATTCGTCTCCTTGTGCTGCCCTGAGCGACACAACCAGCATTATGTAAGCGAGAAGGGATCGGGGAAGCATTTGAAAGATGGTAGGTACGTTTGTCAAAAGGGCGATAAATATACTCGCTGATTAGGTCAAAGTGGCCAAGGCCGGATGGATCGGTCAGGATATCATAGCTGCACCGCGAATATTTGGTCAATTGCTATGTGAAGTCAGACGGTCGATTTTGTAGACCTAACGTGTAGTTGTTTTGTCTGGGCCCTCCCTTGTCTCGCTCCAGGCCAACTCATATATTCACGGGATTCATTGATGCTTCGTAGCCCTACAGAGCCGGGAAATCTCTGGGCAGTGGGCACGGTTACTGAAAAGAAATCAACGTTGTGGTTTCAATAGTCTCGATTCTTTTTAGCCATCCTCCTTTATGGACTTCGAAGAGGCTATCTTTAAAGTTCAAACTAGGGACCATTAAACTTGTCTTCGCATGTAGGCTTGTAGTTTTGTTTCTATCAGGCTTCTTTTGGCCTTCCCCCAGCTGTTCGGCTTAGTTCGGAGAAGCCCCAGGCCAAAGCATTCGAGATCCCTTCTTGGATAGCTTTTTTCAGAGAATGCAAGCAGGTGCCACACCATGGCCAGACGTGGCCGACTCCAGCTAGGATGGTAGAAGAAAATGAGGGGTCAACGATCATGGTTAGCTAAATTAATAGGCTGTCCATTGATCTGGTCCCTTAGTCCCTACTAGTGTAGAACAGTTTCTTTCCGAACACCGTCATGTACAGATACTGCCATGTACTGCGTATGCGTGCGAACTACAGCAACGCAGATCTATGATACTGAGACAATGTCTTGGGAGGACCGCGGCCTGTCACCCTCACCCCCATCAACTGGCGAGTTGTGGATCCACAGCCTGAACTCACATCAGTTGCCTCTCGAGGAGTACTCAACGTAGTTGCTACGAGAGGGTAGATCTTTGATAGTCCAGAGAGGGATTGGTTTGAGTCCTCATCGAATTCCGTGACCCAACGCTGCTTTTGACGCCGCTTAGTCACCGCTGCCTTTTGTCAGATCGCTTGTAAGCAGCTCGAAGACGATTCATCAATTCCGTTGACAGCGGGAAGAAGCGAGCAGCCAGACTGTTGAGCAGCCCTACCTATTTGTGCTTGGAAACAGGAATATGAAGAGCCCTCGTTGGCCTGCTGAAGCTGCGCGGAAAAAGAGGCCAAGGGAGGTATCTCCGGCTTAGCCTATCAAGCAAAGGTAGCGCGTTGCTCATGGTTATTGAGGATGACGAGATCCGATTCGCAAAGACCGTGGCAGTCATACGCGACGTATGCAGACAGGCACATACTTGGGAAGCCGTAGGTCCCTCGAGTGTGCCATGGCTCGAGAGCCTATAGGTAGGGCATTCTCGTGCAACGGCGTCATGCAGGACGTGGTGGCTGGCATCACCTCAGCCGGCAGAAGCCACCATCCGCACACGATGATGCCGTTGGAAGCTGGCGGATGGAAGAAGTGGAAGTGGAAGTGGAAGAAGCGAGAGTGAGACTCTGGCTGCAGCATCTCATCCATCCTGGCTTGTCCAGCTTGCCGAAGGGATCCGTCTCAAGATAGATGGAGATGTAATGGGACGTCAGGTGTTTGAACTTCGTCGTCCCTTTTCCTTATTGATGGTATCCCGGGGATCTACGCTGAGATCATCGTTGAGACTGGGGACTGGGGAAAGAGGAAGAAGAAACAACGGAAGCGAGGCAGGTGGAGATGCAAGACAACGTGACCCGTTTGAAAACTTACCTCTAAAGGTAGTAGCATGTCACAGGCGATGTTATAGTTGACACGGTGGGATATGGCGGGGTAGCACCTGAGAAGAAGGGAAAGCGCCATCCTCTTTCTCACCGCCCACGGCAAGTACCGGTGAAATTCTATGTTGTTGGAATCACCAGACATTCCATATTACCTCGTCTGTCAATTCAGTTATCAATGTAATGTCGGTTCAGTATAAGGGAACTCCATAACCCCAGTGGTCCGTATTCTGAATCAACGATGACAACTCAAACTGATCAGCTTGTTTGACCCAGGAAGCAAGATAGCAAACCACCTTTACATGACCTGTTTGCTGCTGCTTGCCTCTGTAGTGGTCAAGAGATAGAGGTAGCATACCTATACAAGCTTAGAGGGGTGCTTTGAATCAAACAAACAGCACCGTTCGATGATGGGCAGATTGTGAGGGAAAGTGGTTGGTTGAATGGTAGCGTGACCTGTACCACCCCAAGATACCTCTAGGTAGGAAAGAAAAAAGAAAGAAAAAAATCAACAGCCCCTGACTTTCTCCGTTATTGAAGGTTCCGGAACCTCAACGTCGACCCCAGATTGTAGGCCTTGAGGTTGGACGGGGTAATCAATGACCAAGAGTCCCAGTCTCAGAGTGGTCCATGATACAGCAGGTCCCGTCCCGTCATTAAAGGTACTGTAGGTTGTGTCCCGTCAAGCGGCCAAGTAAGTAGGTGCGCGTGTGATTGGCCAGCTTTGAGCTCATTCCCCCGCTCTCGAAACGAAGCAACTCAGCATTGGATGCCCGACACCCATGTTCTCGCCTCGTTGTACATACCCTCAATCGCGCTGTCCTGCGTACGTGGGGTATTGAATATCTGATATATGGTATACCTACAAACGACCGTTTTCGCGATTCGGTAACTAGGCAAGCCGTCATATATTAGCGCCAACTCCTAACGTTTGGCTCAAAGCCAATTTTATTTAGTATTTTCAACACAGCTTTACGAAAAGCCACTCTATCGTGGGGTAAAAAATTAGGAAAAGCACCAGTGAATTCAACGCGCCCAAAAGGGAACTCTTAGCTCAAGTTACTTTTAGGTCGAGTTGTGGAGAAGAAAGTCGATTACTTGGGTCTTTGGTTTGGCTTGCAAGGCGTACGCGGACAGCTACCTGTTGTTTCATGTAGATGCGTACCGTAGGTACCTAGGTGCTGGCGGTACGTAGGTAGAGGTACCTACTCTACGTAGCGCAGGTGATCACGTAGTGAACATAGTGACGAAAAAAAAAAAAAAAACGGTGTGCTTGGAGAGGTCCCGTCCCGTTGGACTGTTCTCTTGGGAGTCTTGGGTGTTCCAATGCCGGGACAGGAAAAGCAACGACTTGAGAAAGCACAGCACGCTTTACCTTGTCCGAGCGAGGGGGGAAGACGCAGTGGAAGTTTTTCTTCCGTGTAAATCAGCGAGTCGGTCCACCGCTTCCACCCCGTTGAAGTTTTTGTCAGGTATCCCGCCATCTCACATTCTTTTCCTTCCCTTCTCGCTTGCTGTCAATCGATTATATCTTCTTCTCCCTGTACCTACCCATTAACTTGTCGGTGTTTGGAGAGCAGAAAGAGAAACTGCCGCTGTCACGGACGGGAAGCGAAACAAAGAGAGCCCCACTTTACACTAGCTTCCTTCCATTCTGGAACCACGGGACGGGGGCGGCTCCTCTCGAGCGAGTCACGACGGCAGTGGGCGGCCACTTCTCGCACTTCGGGCGACGGCAACACCACCGCGGATTGTCCGCGGCAACAGCTGGAGTCCACCAAGTCCACCAGAGCCCACCTTCCATCCTTCCTGCTCTCTGGGCACATCCTTGCGACGACTGACGACTCCGACTCCGACAACACCGACATCATCCATTATCGGGCCATACCTTAGCTTATCCCCGTTGATTCTGTCCGTCTTTTCGCCCACTGCACAGAAACTCGATTCGCGCATCACGGAACACGGAGTCGGCGGCTCCCAGCGCTACTACATACCCTCGCAATCTTCCAATTTTCCAATCTTCCAATCCAAGCTTCGTCTCGCTTGCCCAAAATTGACCGCACAACTCACTTTCCACTTCCTGCAACCCCTGTTCGTTCAAGGCGTGCCACTCATCCACTGCTGTCGACAACCACCATCACCACAACCTACCGTCGCTCGACTAGTAGGTCGTGCAAGGACGCTCAGTCCATTCTTTCACGATTCTGCAGTCCATACTGCCTCTCCCGCCTTCACGTGCTGAGCGACTGGAGCCTTCACACATAGTGCATCCCGTCTGACGCAAGACGGTCTACCCGACGCCAGTCAGTCCACCGCCCGCCTGGGTCCGATTCCCGTCCTGCGACTGCTGTAACCTGCACCGTTCGGCGCTGGCCCAACAACCACGGTTCAACGACACCTCAACCTCCCACCCTGCCCGACCACGACCACGAACACCGGCCTACCGCATTCCGACGACATCTAGACCACCGCGCATCAGACGACGGCGACATACTCAGGTCAAGAAAACACATTATGTCTCAGGCTTCTGCTGCGCTCTAGCTCTGGCACGTCTGCCAGACAGCCCTCGGCTCCACCCCGGACGTCCTTCGACAAGACAACGAGAAGCACGCACGCCAACCATACGAGTCTAGCCTCAGCTTCCACCTCCTCAGTTTCCGAGCCCCCTTTCCACGGAAATTTGCCCGCCGCCGCGTCCTTCTGTTGGAAAGATTGGAAAACTGCCGACCTCTTATCGCCTCACCCTAACATCGTTTCAGATGGTTCTACAATAACCTGACCTCCCCGTCGTCCAACTCAGTCATCATGGAGGAACAATCCAAGGCCCCGAGCCTGCTGGCTCCGCCGGCCGTATCGTCGCTCAGGACTGGCAAGATGGAGCGATCACTCAGCGAGAATATCCGCGAGGAGAGAGAGGACCTTCGAGAGGCCGCCGAACAGACCCTAAACGTCATCATGGACCTCAACCTGGACGGTACTATCCGATGGGTCAGCCCTTCGTGGGTTGATGTGATTGGAACCCAACCCGAACAAGTTACGGGAACTGCTATCACAGACCTGATCGTCAGCGACAACAAGTCCATCTTTGCCGATGTCATCGAAAGCATGCAAAGGGACGATTCAAAGTCAAAGTTCATCCGCTTTGCTGTCAAGGTCGGCCCACTGTCGCGGCTACTCCCGCCTGAGCAAGCAGAGGAGCCGACAATTATCGACGTGGAAGCACAAGGTATCATGGTCTATGATGGTGCATCTGGTAAAGACAGCCATGTAAGTGAACACCGATCATGTTTTACAAAGTGGACATGTGTTAGGGGAGCCGGCAAACCAACTGGATCTAACTCCATCATCCTTTGCAGACTATGTGGATGATACGGCCGTGGGTAGCGCCGCGTGAGATCAAAATCGATCTACCAGCCTTTATCGTAGAATCTCTCGGCTCAGGAGCTGAGGTTCTCGCTAGCTATCTTACCCAACTTGCAGAGTCCGGACTGGATGACCCAAATGGCCATCCTCCACCAGCGCCAGTGCTCTGCCGTATTTGCGAACGCCAGATCCCGCCTTGGTGGTTCGAAAAGCACACCGATCTGTGTCTACAGGAGCATCGAGCGGAAATGGATGTTCAGATGACCCAGGAAAGTCTGATTGATCACCGTCACGCCATTGTCAAAGTACTCGACGCCCTCGAGGCCCGTCATAGCCGCACTTTGATTGGAGACCCTGCCAATTTGCCGATTGCCGAGTACAAAGGCATGCCCATTGGTCCTCCAACATCCACGACATCGTCCCCGGGGACATCATCGCCAAGTTCAAACTCCGGCCGGTCGAGGGACAGATCATCTGGATTCGGACATTCGAGAGCCAGATCCTTTGCTATCCGTCGGCCGCAAGCCCGAATTGTTGAGCTGCTCCTTGATCTATGCGACACTGCGATCGAGATTAGCACCCCTGCCATCAAGGAGACCACACAAAATCCGGCTGAATTTCGTACGCAGTCACCCCAGTCAGAGGGCCGTATTTCCCAGGTGATGCAATGGGAAACACCTGGCACGAACACACTCGAGCAAGAACAAGGTCTTGCGTTGCTCTGTACTGATACGGAGGCCGTTGCTAAGGCCAAGGTTGAAGCTGTCTTCCGCCATCGCAGGATTCTCGAGTATGCCGAGAGGATTCGAATCGAATTTGCCATCGTGGTCCAGGAGTGTATCGATGAGGCTATGCGCAGGGCTGCCAAGATCGCCGCTGGTCGACTTAGTGACTCTACTGAAGAGGAGGAAGAAGAGGACTTCGAGCAGACTGAGGACGAAGAAGCGACGTCTGCACAGGAGGAGGGGATATTCCCCGGGTCCTTCGATGCTCCTTCGACACTGGCAATGGCTTTGGAAAAGGCCCACATTTCGGGAGAGCGCCCCAGCCGCCGATTATCAATATCAATCAAGTCTACTCGATCTAGCAGCCCAAAGGAATGTCCCACGCCTCGATCTAATCGGGGTACACTGGGTAACCTTGCCAGCGCAACCCAATCGAGACGAGAATCCATGCTTTTGGAAAGCGACACTGGCGACAGTGATGGCGGAAGCATCAGATCCTCGTCTGTCGCCTCGAGGATGCCAACCCGAACAGAATCGCCGCTGTCTGAGTTTAGCGACCTTCGCCGGCATGCAAGTTCGCGACAACGTAATCGAAGGAGCCTCATTCTTCCAGGAACAATATCCCCTCGAAGACAAGAATCTCCGTCGCGAAATGGACCACCATCGTCACCCCTCCGACTTCACAAACCGCGTAATTTGCCTTTCCCTTCTGACAGCCTGGTCTCGCCCGAAGCATCACCGATGCTGCCGAGTAGTGAGTTTACTTCTCCAACCCCTCCCAGTATCCATCATCACCGGCGACAATCCTCAGCAGCCGTGTCTGCATCAACCGGGGATCTTGGTTTCAAACCCCCACCCTCGCCTCGTCTCAGCGCGGTCGTTGGCGCTCCGCAAGCCAAAGCAGTTCCTCCATCGATCAAGGACTTCGAGATCATCAAACCCATCAGCAAGGGTGCGTTCGGAAGCGTCTATCTATCCAAGAAGAAGTCAACCGGCGAATATTTTGCGATCAAGGTCTTGAAGAAGGCCGACATGGTAGCCAAGAACCAGGTCACCAATGTCAAGGCAGAACGTGCCATCATGATGTGGCAGGGCGAAAGCGACTTTGTTGCCAAGCTGTATTGGACGTTTTCGAGTAAGGACTACCTCTACCTGGTCATGGAATATTTGAATGGTGGCGACTGCGCGTCATTGATCAAAGTACTGGGGGGTCTCCCCGAGGACTGGGTGAAGAAGTATCTCGGTGAGGTTGTTCTCGGTGTCGAACACCTCCACAGTCGGGGCATCGTTCACCGTGACCTGAAGCCCGACAATCTGCTTATTGACCAAAAGGGACACCTGAAGTTGACTGACTTTGGCCTCTCGCGCATGGGTCTCGTTGGTCGACAGAAGCGTGCTCTTAACAATGGCGCTGACGCAGCTCCGGACTTGCTCAAGCAAGGCCCTTTTGTTCGGTCCTCTTCGATCGCATCATCTCGTTCCACTTCTCTCGACGTTCATGCTCGCAACCCTTCCCCTCTGTCGACCCCACAAATGACGCCGAGCGACTATGGTGCCGGTCTAGGACAGCCATCCTACTTCAACCTCGGGGTGTTATCTCAAGAACCTCGGCGGTTATCCGCGAACCGCAGTGACAGTGGCGGTAGCGAAGCACTGTCGCATATGCTTCCAAATCTGTCCCTGAACGACACCCTGTCCGTCCCGCCTCAAGCCATTCAGTCTCCTGGCGAGCGTAGCGAAACCGACGAGGGCACAACCCCCGACTTCGTCTCGCTCTCCCACGCAACCACGCAAAGCAACATAGACGCCAACAGAGGTACTCCTCCACAACAGCCTCATATGCCCCCGCCGAATTGGGCGCTTTTCGACCCTCAAGATACCAATCGCCGTTTTGTTGGAACACCCGACTACCTAGCCCCAGAAACTATCAGGGGAGAGCCTCAAGACGAGACAAGTGATTGGTGGTCCGTTGGATGCATCATGTACGAGTTTTTGTATGGAATCCCCCCCTTCCATGCACCTGAAGCGGAACAAGTCTTTGGGAACATCCTGGCACGTAAATTGGAGTTCCCTGATGACAGTGATATGGAAATCTCTTCAGAGGCCAAGGATCTGATCAACAAGTTGTTGTGCTCGGATCCTCATCAGCGGCTTGGGGCGAACCGCGAAGACAAATTTCAGTCAGGAGGTGAAGAAATACGTAGCCATCCGTGGTTCGAGGGTGTCAATTGGGAGACATTGCTGCAAGATGATGCTCAGTTCGTTCCTCAACCTGAGCATCCAGAAGATACTGAATATTTTGATTCACGTGGCGCCGTCCTCCAGTCCTTCGCTGAAGAAATGGAAGATCAGTCTTCACCTCCTAGTTCAGCCCCAGCACCTGATTATCATAACAGGCCGCATGATGCGTTGGCGAAGGTTAGGTCCCAGGTCAACTCCAACATCAACACCGTGAAACGAGGTTTGATGCCGCTTCACATCCCCCCTCATGTCCGTGATTTGAAGAGCAGACGCTTGAGCGAGCCAGTTGCTGCCGATGATTTCGGAAACTTTTCGTTCAAAAATTTGGCTGTTCTCGAGAAGGCGAACAAGGATGTCATACAAAGACTACGGGCAGAGGCTGCGGAGTCTCAGACCAAGCCCATCAGTCCTGGAGCATTGAGCTCTATCAGCAGTCCTGGCACGATTGGAGCCTTGGAAGGCAGCCCAGTAATCGCCAACCCCGTCCAAAGGACGCTCTCTGCTGCAAAAGCATCTCAGCGTCCTCAGTCTCCTTCTGGTATTGGA